TATAATTGTCAAACAATGACGTTCACAGTAGCTGCCTCCAAAGCTGGATAATTTTGTTAATTCTGATCCAATTTTGAAGATTTGTTTCTTCCACTCATCAAATAAGGGACAAAACTATGCACACATTCTGTCATAAGGCCTCAGTTCTAATAGATATGTTGCTATACTAGGATATTCTGAACCAAAAATGGATTGATGACGTCACAATTAATGCAAATTAGCTAATTTGCATAACTGAATATCGTAACCATATAGTACATTTAATAAGGTTTAATCAGATACCAATATCATCTCTATAGACCAAATAATGGCGAAGCTACATTGATTCAAGACTCCAAGGTAAGACGTAATGTATATTATTGTCAAATAATGACATTCACGATAGCTGCCTCGAAAGTTACATAACTTTCGTAATACTGATTTAATTTTGAATCTGTTTTCACTTTTATGTTGCTTATACCTTCTACTAATAGAAAAAAGGACAAAACCTTTCAGAAATTTTGCCATACGGCCTCAGTTCTAATAGATACGTTGCTATAGTTGAAAATTCTGAACCAAAAATAGATTGATGACGTCATGATTTATGCAAATTAGATAATTTGCATAATTGAATATCGGAAATTTATTGGAAATTTAACGAGGTTCAATTTGGTACCAATATCATTTCTATAGACCAAATAATGACAGAGCTACAAATGATTTAAGATACCAAGGTAAGATGTCTAAAGATGCGTAACCATGGTAACTGAATGCCGCCATAAAAGTACTATGGGACATTAGTTGGCAATGTTAACAAATGAATTCATTAAATAGACACCCTAGGGATTACAAAAATGTATGTAACTTATTCACACCTTATGGGTGCATGGGAACCCCTTGTTCCTACTATACTATATCGAGCGCTCATAGTTTTATGCGCGCTTAGTCTACTTCAGATACTCTTTCAGCTTCAGAGTTTCGGGTTTAGAACGGGAGATTTGAAATTTGACGTTGGGTCAACGGGAACCATTTTACTCGTGTCTATTGAACACTATGCTGTCAATTTTGATTTCGATGCACAGTTGAATTCTTGCTGAACACGATGATGTATGTCATGCATGATTTAGCGCCAAAAATCTTACGAAACGAGCTCGTTTAAAATATGTATTAGAAAACCAGCTATAAAACCGCATCAATGACATACTATAGAATCTGTACACGCTATGGTGTAGTCTAAACAAACACTGGATTTGAACGGCTATTTATATGAGAAGGCTACATAGTCCATTTGTCACCCCTATACATCCAATAGTGAACCTAGAAATTGTTAAAAGTACGATGTTTTATGGTCGATTTATGATAATAAGGGTTTTCTGAAGTGATTTAACTGGGTTGCCCAAAAATTTTGTTTGGGGAAAAAATGATATAGGCTGATTAGGGAGGGGTGCAATCGCTTAACATGGCGTTGACTATTGACTTAGCGTTTGGATACCACCATATACCTGGTATGTTACCATGGTAATAGATACAAAAATTTTCCCCAAAGTTATTTTTTTGGCAACCCAGCTAAATCACTCCAATAATCCCTAATGATAGTATTTACACAGAAAAACATCATACTTTTAAATATTTATACGTTCAGAAAATGACAAATGGACTAACATGAATTTGTATATGGTCGAGTGATACGTACAGGTTCAGTTTCGATTATATATGCAAAGCTTAACCTCTCCATTAGCTTACAATTGAACGTCTTACGTAAAAAAAATGTGTGAAGAACATGCTTTGATTAATAGTATTCCGTATGCTTCAAAAGAATAAGGTATGTAAAGCTGAACCATCTACAATACTACAATATGACAATTTCATACATTTAACTGTAGCTAAATGTCTATTTTTATGATTATGCGTCTTTTCGAATAATGACCTAATTTAATTCATTGAAATTATTTCTAATGTGAGGGTCTTTCTGAATAAATAAAACAATTATAACCACTTGGAATTCGAAGATGGTATTGGATTATGCCAATTTTGTTAAAGGGCTCGGAAACAATCACAAATGTTCTTATATTGATATCAAATTATTTTCATTTAACAAAATCCAGTTTTGTTTCAATAAATGCAATTTCTTATGTTATGTACACTGTATATTGTACCTATAATATAGTAATGCACAAATGCACAAATGTTGATTTAACGCTTTTTGTGAAATGTGCAAGTTATTGTTATATCACAGGTTTGACCACCCAATGTACATATATATTTAACATAGACTTTTGTACACTTATTATTAGTAACTATATCTAATATGGATTTCTGTACATTTATTATTAGTAGCTTTATCTAACATTAAATCTAGGATATGTATCCTAGCCAAAAACGCTGACAAAACGAGGGTGTTTTCTTTAAGCTACGTTCACACCAACGGCGAATGCCACGCTTTAAATCGGCGAGAAAAGCGCCGTCATTTTTGTCATTTTTGTTCATACCAACGGCGCTTTGATGGCGCTTTAAAGCGGCTTGTAAAGCGGCACCAAAGCGTAACAAAGCTTGATTAAAGTGTCGGGGTCGTAATAGGTCTTAGAAAAGCTCGGAGTAAAGCGGGATATTCGGCAAGAGCGCCAAACAATTTTAAACTGTTTAGAAATTTTGGGCGCTCTGTTACGAATTGATTAAAGCCACGAGAGCGTATTAAAGCTTAACAAACCGTAACAAAGCTCAGAAAAGCTTGATCCATAAAACCCCGACGCTTCAATCAAGCTTTGTTACGCTTTGGTGCCGCTTTACAAGCCGCTTTAAAGCGCCATCAAAGCGCCGTTGGTGCGAACGTAGCTTGAACAGTTTTAATGTTTGAGCTCTTGCCGAATATCCCGCTTTACTCCGAGCTTTTCTACTACCTATTACGACCCCGACGCTTTAATCAAGCTTTGGTGCCGCTTTACAAGCCGCTTTAAAGCGCCATCAAAGCGCCATTGGTGTGAACGTAGCTTTAGCAATAAATTCATATCATCGCAAAACATGTTTTTTTAAATTAGGTTCTTAGTGCTATCTCAGGTTCAGTGATTCTAGATTTGTAAAGCTACTTTCACACAAACGGCGCTTTGATGGCGATTTAAAGCGGCTTGTAAAGCGGCACCAAATCGTAAAAAAGCTTGATTAAAGCGTCGGGGTCGAAGAAAATCTCGGAGTAAAGCGGGATATTCTGTAAGAGCGCCCTAAAAATTTTAAACTGTTTAAAAATTTTGGGCGCTCTGTTACGAATTGCTTAAAGCGCCGAGAGCGTATCAAAGCTTAACAAAAGGTGACACAGCTCAGCAAAGCTTGACCCAAAGCGTAGGAAAGCTTAACAGAGCTTGGTTCAAAACGGGGACCCCAGTCTCTTTACGGTCTGTTACCACTTGACACGCTTTGTTAAGATGTCTCAAGATTTGCTACGATCTGGCATGAAGATCTCTCTCAAGTTTTCCAACGAATTGAGACGCTTCAATCAAGGATTAAAACGCTTTGTTAGGCTTTGTTACGCTTGACAAGCTTCCTCACGCTCTCTCACGCTCTTTCAACAAACATCATGTCTTCTTCAGATAGGTCATGCTCTGGTCCATCTGGAATTTCTGGATCTTGTTGTTCTGCCATCGTGTTCTTGAGTCAAAGATGCAATGGTTTTATGGATCTGCTGCATCTTTATATAGTCATTGGATCAAAAGCGGCATGAAATCGGCGATCACGACATTTTCCTGTTTTGCGTGTCTGTTTTTGAGTGAGATATCAAAGCATCTAACGTGTATTACTACACAGCGGTAGACACGTTTGTATTGCGTAAAAAGATATGTCGTCTACGTATGGTGTGTATCGTTCCTCTTCTCAATACATCAATAACACCCTGATATAGCATGACGGTCACGCCACCTCTAAAAACGAGGTTGGACGGCTACGTTCACTGATTTATCCAATAAAATGGCCGCGATGAAACAGAAAACTAAGGTTGGTGCATTACTGCTGTGTATCAATGAAAGGATGGACGCTTTGTGTAAGCATCGCATTCGGTGATGCATTAAGTAATGTATATTTTGAACGTAGTCTTTGCAATCGATGCCCGGGGATAACTTGAAATAAGCGAAAATCTGTCGAGTTTGAAATTCAAAACTACACAAAATTTAGTAATTTGTTTATTTTTGTTGTTAGGGCATAGTCTACATTGCCTAAAAACAAATAGATGTAACCTACATACGATCATACAAAGCCAATATAACTTGTAGAACAAATATTCAAATGACACTCTTCGCATGCTTCGGTGACTGCATACTTTTGACACATTCAAAGTACATTCCACAATAACAAAGACTAGAAAAATGAATTCGAAATATAATTCAAGAAAAACGGCACAGCTTTTTATCAGTATTTCAACGCCCTGTGATATACAAACAGGTAGACACGTAAAACATTTCATTTAATATTCAACTTGTTAGGGTCCACTGGTATTGCAGGCGTAGGTCATTGATTTAGTGTCAACCTACAAAAAGTAGAATGCGGTGTAACGTGGGGTAACGGTAAGGTAATTTGAATCTCGGGTGGTCTGCGCGTTATACATTACCGTATACTATATTCGCAGTTTGTGTGAATTTCACTGTAAAGTTCACTGGGATATTTTTACAGACATTTACATGTGAAAATATCTAGAAGTAGAAACTAGACCAGATCTTTCTGAAACAATGAAAACCTCAGTTTGTCCAAATGTCATCACACTCACAGCGCGTTTAACTGTCACGCTTAATTTGGTCAAGCCCCTGTGGTTTATATCAGTTTATATCAAATCACGAAGTTATGTGCTTATGAAAATTATTAGGTTAATCCGGATACAAGCTTACTTAATTTTAACTTATTTTAAATCCGTATGTCATACGTCTAAAAATTTGGAACTTCCAAACACTTGTTCTTTGCATCGTTGCATAACACCGTTCTAAGCTATTTTATATAAATGGGGAGTGATACTTATTATGTCCTATTTCTTTTTTTTATTTTAGCTTCATCCAAGGTGTGATCAAGTAACGTGTTTTGCTAAGAGATTATCATAATGGCGGACCGATTGAAACAATACATTGATGATTACCAAAATGCAGTGGCTAGAGACTTGAATAAGTACGACAAACTGAAAGATATGGATATCTTCGTTCTCGACAACTCTATGCGAGAGAGCACTGTTGGCCAACTTAGAGGTCATTCGATTGAAAACAAACGCGCTATCTTTAATGAAGTGAAGAAATGTGGTTTCCAGCATACCATCATAGCCTCGTTTTCACACATGGCGCGGGTCGATGATATATGGATGAAAATGCTGATAGATGAAGGCGAAGACCCTGATTATCTATGGGCGTTCTCTGAGGTGACGGTAGGTAAGAAGTTATTTTATTTCTCATTCAAAGTTCGCTGTTTACCTTATATAATCCTGGTACACGACAGTACCCCACACACAATATTGTCGGCTTGTCTGATGTGTTGTAGAAAAATATCCAACAGGTGTTTGCTCATGAAATTTGGCATACTTTGACTTGAAAAAATTTGTGACACTCAATTTTATTTGGGATAATATGACGTTGGTTTCAAAATTGCTACATATTTAAAAATTTGACCTAAATTAAGCTAAATTTTTCAACAATTTGTAGCAAATTGAATTACAAAAACAATTAACTTGGACACTATTCTGGCCAATCTTATCCTATGAAACACCATTACTAATCCACAGGTAAAGGCAAACTGAACTTGTGTGAATGTGGAGTGAATGATGTTACATGTTATAATGTTACCCCTGAAAGGCCACATGTTAAATTCATGTGAATCATTTAATGTTGTCCAGCAAAAGAAGACGCTGTTGGCCACCTGTGACTCGTTGGATACATATAGCCATCCGATCGCAGGCCCACACAATTTTGAAGATTGCAAGGTCACTGTTAATCATACAAAATAATAGCATTTTTGAGATTTTATGAAATATGAGCTATTGGAAAAGATTTTTTAAATGAGTGGGAAAAGGTAAAGTAGCAAATGCTGTATAGTGTGAGGATGGGTTAAGAATCCACGCAGGGATGTCTTTTAGTGCCCTGATTAACTTGTTTACACTAAACCAACAAATAATTTGATACTTGACCATGTTTGGAAAGTATCAATAGGGTCTTCTCTCTTAAATAATTATAAAACCACACTTACAATATTCATACTAAGAGTTATAACATCTCCACCAAATAGGAACAAATAGGAATTTTGTTAAAGTTAATCAAAAGTACCAAAAATGGCAGCCGTTGATAAAGACACAAGATTTTGTATATCTGTTTTCCTTATATGTGAATGCATTTCCTGACTAAAGAGACATGTCAAAGGAAACTTCACATTTAAACGCATTTTTTATTACTGTGAATTGGAGGTGCATGGGTCCCTAACACCCCAGTCACATTTCCTACGGCGACCTTGTGGTCTATCATTTCTGCGGCCAGTAACATATTTTTTACGCTCGCCGTGGAATTTCTGCGCTCTCATGTATACTTTTGCAGTCACATTTCCCACGGCAGCCGCACGGTGAATTTTTGTTGATAATTAATACTTTTTTCATTTTATTTACATCGGGACAATTTATAAATGTTATTCATAGTGCTAGGATGTAATATCAAATGAAAAGTGATCGTGAAACATTGACAAATAATGATGCGATCTTGTTCAGCCAGTTGATTTCTACGGGGACCTCAGAAATAAACAAATATTATAACTCCGAGTTATAATTTCTACGCCTTCCCTGCGGCCTGTAAAAATCTGCATACGCCGTACGGAGGCCGCAAGGCGAGCGTAGTTTTTCTACGCTCGCCGCAGAAATTCACCGATTTAATTGATCTGCGGTCGACTTGCGGCCGCCGTGCGACAATGTGACTGGGGTGTAAAGCTAGCATGGAGACAGTGAAGTGAGGATACCTTTTTTAAATTTCAAGGAGTAGGATTGCAATGGAGACATATTTGTAAGACTCCAAAATTTTCAAAAATCATCTTACCTTACCAAGGAACATCAAAGGAGCATGAAAATGTGTGCTTCTTGCATTGTTAAAGTATAATAAAGCTCAAACCATTGTGAATTCTAAATATTTCATGTCCACCCTTTTGTATGCTGGGACTATTTTCTAGTCCAAAGTAATCCTCAGTGATGTATCCATTGTTTATCATTTATATAGCCTCAATCATGTATCTATCATGATAATTATACTGTTATAGATAACATATACTAGTGATAATCCATGCCACTTGATGAAGTCACAAACCTTGTATAAGGATCAATCAGGAAGTCCTCGCTAGAAGTAGTTCCAGCAAACAAAATGGCGGACATAAAATATTTATAAGAAACTATGGTTTGAGCTTTATCATACTCTAACAAGCAAGAAGTGCACATTTTTATGCTCCTTCGATGTTCCTTGGTAAGGTAAGATGATTTGTGGAAATTTTGGATTCTTGCAAATGTGTCACTGTTGCAATCCTACTCCTTGAAACTTTCAAAAATTAGCCTCATTTCACGGTCTTCATGCTAGCTTTGGGGACTTACGCACCTCTAATTCATAGTTATGAAAAATGCGTTTATATGTGAAGTTTTCTTTGACATGTCTCTTTAGTCAGGAAATGCATTCACATATAAGGAAAACAGATACACAAAATCTTGTGACTTTATCAGAAAATATGGCTGCAATTTTTTTGTTCTTTTGATTAACTTAAGCGCTACCTTAAAGCATGACTATTTTAAAATTGCTTGTTTATTGTCATTACTCAAATCACCAAACAAAAAAATTAAGTGTCACAAATTGTTTCAAGTTAAAATATTCCACATTTAATCTTTTGTTGGATATTTTTCGACAATACATCAAAGAAGCCGACAAATTGTGTGTGGGTACTATATTTTTTAATTAAGAAATCATGTAATGTTAATTGTTATAAATGTGAAATCACTTGTTTTCAACTACTAGGTGCTAAAAAGGATCGCACTCCTGACACCGAAAAGATGCCAATTGGATTGCGAAAGATAAAGGAAGGAGGGGTACGCAATGTCTTTTTTGAGCTCGACCTTGGTGACGCGACGTATGACTTCAATCTTTTCTCCGTTTATAAGATGTATCAATTAACGCGGAAGTGGATGAGCTGGTGTTACGAAAACCTTCATTCAAAATCAAAAATCTTGCTTAACATTCGAGATATTGAAGAAGTGATGGAGACCCATCCTGAACGTGTGATTGAGTTTGTGGATTTGATTTCAACGATGCCCAATAAACAACGTCCCTTTGGTCTCGCTTTTGAAGAAACCGGGAAATCTTTGCCTGAAGAATGCGGACATTGGGCGAGGATCATTCGTAAGATTATGGATGATAACGACTATAAGGGACATCTGCTTGTACATGTACACGAGAAATATGGCTACTGTGATGCCATAGCTTTGGAGGTATGTTTGGCTATACAATATACATATGTCATATTATATCTTCTGCATCCATTCTCAAAACACACATCGCTACTTTTGTATGATTGAGTTAAAATCCATGTTTCTTTGTATATTGTAGTGTCTGATCGGTGGATGCGATGGCATCTGGGCAGGCGTGTGTGGGGAAGGGGCGTCTATGGGTCAGGCGTCCTCCTGCGTTACCCTTATGAACATGATTCGTCTCGGCAACAAAAAAATACTGAAGCAATACAACTGCGATAATTTACGTAAAGCAGCCATTGAAGTGACGAAGATATCGACGGGGAAACCACCTCATGATAAACAACCAGTGTTTGGTAAGAGAGCCCTCGATTATGTCTATCATTTGAACAAAGATGAGTTTCATTTGGCTGATTTCTTTGGTGTTGAAGCTCCCGTTAGAATCACAACATTGTCGTCACCGGATATGATTCGAACGAGATTGGTTCAATTGTTTGGAGACGATCCTCACTTTACCTTGGACATCGCACTCCGGATGAAAGAACTTATGCTTGAAGATCTTCGATCAGACAAGTAAGTAAAGTAATGAAATAAATAAGTGCGATATTTAATGATCTTCGATTAACCGAATTAGTCAGATATATATTAGTGAAATGATTTATAGTGAAATATTTATACCATGGTCAGAGTAATATCAGGTATATCATACATTGTAGCAACTGAAAAATCACATATAGGAATGCTACTGTGATTAGAGGGATGATATCAGGGATGATACGGATAACAACCCGGATATATATTCAAAAATTGTGCATTTTTAAAAAAAACTTCTTTTTATCAAAGATTTCAATTTTTCAAAATTTTTCTCTCATTCAACAGAAGATATTGCTCTAGGCCATTGTTTAAGGTCGTTATTCACCTGTCGGGATGATACGATTAATATCCCTAGGATGATATCAAATTTCCCTCTGTCACTGCGTTCCCTCGGGAAATCTTGGTATCATCCTTGTGATATTCCCCATATCAAATACATCCTGGTGAATAATTTCTTTACATGGACTTGTATACTATATCTAGTAACACTGAGGTCCAACGATGTCGAGAGGATAAAGGTATTTTTAAAATTTTGAAAATGATCATTTGATTGATGACCTACTTTATCTAATTAGGAATTAAAATTGCATCGTCCTTGTCATTTTAGGAGAGTAGAATACATGAGCAAGTTCGGGATAGCTGTCTTGTTCGACCGAGCTGGCGGGTCTTTGACTGAGTCGATGCGTAACAAGATAACAAGTGGAAACGAGACTGGGCCACATGCTCAATTCCTTATTGGAGAAATTCGTAAAGTTTGGGATGAATTGGATAGTCGTGAGGAAGGAGTGGGGGATAATATGCTTCAATTTGATTCGTTCTACCATGGTTTTATGGCTCAGTACTTTTCCTCCTATCGCTCTTTGGATTCTAAAAAAGCATTGCAGGCTCTGGATATGGACTCTGATGGGATGATAGACTGGGACGAATTCCTAGTATATCTGACGTGGGCTGCGAACGAGTTCCCGAAAACGGAAACACCCGAAGAACTGTTGGCGATTGCCTTCACGGAAGCAATAATTCCGGCGAGTAGAGACGAAATGATCGACGAATCAGACCTTGCGAACTAGATGATGATATATATAGGTTATTTACTGGGAGTGATTGAATATGGGTTTTATTCCGAGGGACTATATGATATTGACCAAAGGGTAATATGATATTGACCGAGGGAACGCAGCGACCGAGTGTCAATATCATATTTCCCAAGGTCAATATCATATTTTCCAAGGAATGAAACCCATATATATTCAATCCCGACCAGAAATAACCTATTTATTCCATAATACATTCCTCTAAAATGTTACATTTTGAAAAAGCTTTTATCAATTAGCTAAGGTTAAAAATAACAGTAAAACCAAAAATAGGTTAGTACGTTCCAATACGATTTTTTTCCCGGGGACAATACGATTTTTTTCATGTGATACGCTCCAATACGATTTTTTTCCCGGGGACAATACGATTTTTTCATGTAATACGATTCAATACGATTTTTATTCCTTCATATTTCCCTGGGAAAACAGTAGTATTATGGAATAAAACTATTTATTACTGCAGCAAAATGTAATCTAAATAGGCTTAGATCGGTTTCAACTTCAATTTATCTGATCCATTTTAAATGGATTTTGCAAAAAGACGTCCTGTAGAAATACGTACGTTGAATATGTCGATCAGCAGATTGTCCAAATATCAATATATTTTTGATTTTTATTTGTGATTATAAACCTGAAATTGGATATAATAAATGATTTTATGACTATGAATAAAATACAATGGTGGTTAGGCCTATATAGAAGTTTGTTATTGATTAATATAACTTGAATTAACATCATTTTCATATCTTGGGGACACGCCATAACTTTTGAAAATATAAACTCAAATATTTGATAGATTACTACAGAAGAAAGGAATGAAAGTGAACTTAAAACATCCTGGCAGCCTGACCTTAGCTGAGGGCATTAACAAAAACTTATGTTTTAAAGCAAATAATGTCACGCATTGCAAACAATACACCAGTTATTTACCAGCAAACCTTTATTTAAAACTATTTAAAATTCTATAGGCAAACTGACTTTGAACTGAATAAAATCGTAATTAAATCATGAAAGCCGAAATTGCTTTTGAAACATAAATGCACCTATAGACCTCGTATATTCGAAAAGTAAAAACTCCTGCGGTCCAATAACCTAGATGCAACTAAGTTACTAGCACCGATTTGGCTAATCCGGGTCAGATAGCATGGCAGATAAGATACAAATGGCCGGTTTAGGGTATTATATTGTTGGTATATCAGTTGATTCTGCGTAGAATCAAAGGGTACAATAATATGTTTGTACACATTATTAGTATGTCATAGGTTTGGTACCTAAAATATATTCATATATAGTGCAATCTCTTGTGTGAGATATTCAACTGGTATGATTAGCGTTAGCTTTGCGTCGCTCTCTGCTTCTCTGATGGGGTGGTCTCCTGTTGTTCAATGAATCCCAGAAAAACAATATTAAATTTTTGTTGATTTTTGATACAAAACAGGAGATGTACATGTACTTTTATTGCATAAATGATACTTTCTATGATCAAATATGTTCCCTCCTCAAACTGAGAATTTGAGGGTGGTTGTATGTGAAATCGTATGATTTCCGAATGCTTAGAATGAAAGCCTGTGCTTAGGGCTGATGTGAAAAAGTCAGCCCACCCCACTGGGGATCGAACCCACGACCCCTTGCTTTCATGTTACGTCAAAACGCACTTGCTGCATTCTTAATATTCTCAGGACAAAATAAGTAAACGCAAATGTACACACTAATTTCAAATATCATTTCTACCGAAAAAAGACATGTTTACGCATTTTGTTGCATCCCCAAAGTATAATTTGACGCTGAATTGGTTATTAGAAATAATCTTTTCTGGACTAAGGGATATTAATCATTTTAAAATTGATTTCATGAAATTAATAAATGATCCCTTGGGGATGAAAGGGTTAATATGCATTTTTGCATTCACCAAAAATACTTATATGGAGTTGATTCTGAAAGCTGACTCTCCTAATGGTGTGTTGAAATTTTAGTGCAGATGAAGTCTTTAATTTGACCCTGCGTTTAGAATTACTCACTTCAAAAAATTTAACTGGGAAACGAAAATTATCGAAATACGTATCCGTAAACGTAACGAGATACGTTTTAACGTTTTAGCTAACCTGTTGTACGCAACCTCTCCATTAGCTCAATGAGCTCTTACGTGAGTCGCTCAATTTCATGATTTATTGAAAAAGTGTGTTGGTCTGTCCCAATATTGTTAATATTAAAAGTAAATAATACGTTCTGGAAATGATTTTGAAATAAGGCTGCTTTGAACTAAAGATTACAGTTTTTTATTTTGTTTATTTATCGGCTTTCCCCGCCTAGTACGATTAAAATGGATAAGGGGCCTATGGCTGTCACCCGTATCTAGAGAACTGGGCGTGCTACTTAGAGACTCGGATATAGTGCCGATCGCTCTAACTTGCAATTGACGAGGTAACCTGGAACACGGTCACATACCACCATTAAGTCGACCGCTACCCCCGACACTCCCTAAAGAAACTGGGAAATGTCTACCCCGTGACCACAAAACACAGGCTTCAAACTACATTGGCCGTCGGCCCAGCGGTTTCGGGAGGCGTGCCAGTGGTTTTCCTACCGACATCCGTGGTTAATCCCTACTTATCTCGCCTGAATTCTTAGTCTATATCGTACCCCATAGTAGTATCATCATTTTCACATATTTAGATCTACCTTTTTTCTACATATTTTCCACGAATTTGAACACATTTTCTTTCCGCTTTGCCCATGAATGGAAGACATTCATGAAACCGTCTTTGCTTGGGTGATACAAATGCTCCTTGAGTGCCACTCTAAACCTCGTCCAATGAGTAAAAAAAGTAATTGTTTGGTAACAAAGGAAGTGAATTACTGTAACATGGTTTAACATTCAAAATTCAAAGAAACATAGAAGTTAGACTAGCGAAACAAGTCAAATAGCGGTAACATTTAAGGCTGAAAGTTCAGGGCCGTCAGATGGGGGGGGGGGGTGCGTCATGTCATGTGTGAATACCGTTCTGGGTTGCAGGCTCCCTATATTAGAAAACTACCAAAAAAACATAAAATGAAATATTTCAATATGAAATTTATACACAAAGTAGTTAGGTTGTTGGTCTTTATTATTGAAACGTCTCAAGTAATTTTTGACTTTTGGATCACCCTTGTAGCTCGTATTATTGCAATGTCTATGAAATGTGATAGTATATTAGAGTAAAAGATATCTACATAGTTAAAGTATTGTACTTTATAAATTTGTAATATTTTATAAGAAGTAAGTTTTTGTAATACTTTATAAGAAGTTAAGTGTTTTTCTGTACTTGTATTGTATATATATTTTTAATGTATTATATGTTCATATGTTATATTTTTTGGAATAAAAATTTTAATAAAAAAAAAGTACTTTATAAAGGTTACCCAGTGTTTTTGATATTTTCAGATGATGTAGGATATAAGTTTGTCTTATTCATAATCCAAGAAAGGATTGTTTTTGGACTCTCTGCTCCTAGACGCTGACCAGTTTTTTACTATCTCATGACATTATAATTACATTACCAGTAACATACGTCGCAGATTTTATATTGAAGATAGTCACAGAACACAATCATGTATTGGCAAAATACACATTTATTTTTTTAAATAAAACACATATTTCTACAGTCAGATTTTACAAGTGCTTAAGTTGGACGGATAACCTTTCTCAACAATATTTTTCCTGACCCTTCATCTGTGTTTAAAGGTCAATTATCACACATGTCAGTGATATCATGTTTGTGTTTATGTTTTGTTATCATGGATGTAGTGCCTCACCAAAATGTTATTTTCAATGTCACTGTAAAAATCATGTCAAACAGTAGCACAATATCATATTTGGACAGTTTGTTTTGCCTCACCTACTTAAACATTTGCCTCACCTAATTTTGGGTCCTGACTACAATTTCATTTACCCATGCATAAAGTCTTTGAACTATCCCAATTAACTTCGATTCACCTTCACCTTTTCATAATTACATGTACCATAAGGGCGAGAAGCAAGTACAATCAATCATATTCTAGAGTAAAATTTTTAGTACTTTGAGTTAATAAAATTAGCAATCAAAGGACCATATTGAAACAGTATATGTAAAAATAGAAACATTTATACATGTCCTCACTTTTGTATATGTTAGTTTATTTTGTAGTTTAGCTATCATATCTGTGGCCTCTTATACAGGGTGGTCAAAAAATGGAAACCCTGCATTTTCCTTATATCTTTGTCAACTTAAAAACTTACTCCTTGATATTTCACACATTTTTTCATCATTCAATTTCCTACCACCCTACCATATTTCATGACCATATATACTGTTGCAATATAGCCATTTGTTTGCTTCCAAACATTCAAAATTCTACTGTACCAATGGTTTTTTGTGTTTGTTTTTCTTCAATAAATAATCCAGAGTCAAGCAAGTGTCACTGAGTGAAATTAGCCTCCATAATACAAGATTTTTATAAAGTCATTAAGCCAGTCATACGTTAAGACCATTATTGGCCCTCATTCAATGAGCAAAGTGTTTATCTAATACTGATCATTATTACTGCATGTGTATTTTTGGTTTAGATGGGACCGTGTAATATAAGCCTTGCCCAAGGCTGTGTCTTTTTATCTTTTTATTTTATTTTCACATATCATCATCAAGACATGTATAATATATAATTGAAAATCAAGATCAAGATCAAGATATAAAAGATAATACTAAGACTTGGGCAAGGCTAGTGTGACATGTGTGATGCTACAATTAAGTAGTCAAACCAACTACAATGTATATCCCGTTGTCTCCCAAAGGAGAAGTCTATCAGCTTGATGCCACCTAATTTATTTATGGTCCCATTCCCTCTCTTTCATGTCTTCCCATCTAGCCATCTTTTCAAGTATGATATTTGCTGATATGAATTTTTACCTTGAATTCATCAGCACAATCTTGTCAACAGCTGGTATCATTGTTTTTGCTATGATATAATACCTTAAACATGTTTTTCTTAAATACAATCTTCATTGTCTATGTGAACTTATCGAAATGTTCCTTTGCTGACTTCCCCTTCTTGTTTCAACCTCAGTTAACTCTTTGATTCTAATACTGAAAAGTTTAGAATAGACGAAGCTTGTAGACGACAGGTGACATCATTAGCAGGAATGTAATAAAAATTTCTGGCCCCAAAGTTCATTGTGAGTTGTGTGTTTGTATATGGTTTGCAGACATCTGATGGACAGATGAATCTGCCCTCTGAAAAAAGAAACAAGCTGCAATTAAAAAGATGTAACAAAATGTTCGAAACTTTTTTTTCAAATTATGATTACAACATCAACGTGGAAGATGAAACTCCAAAGGTTAACATAATGGTAACAATATGTAATATTTGAAGATAAAAATTAAAATCTGTACTTTTTTAATTTGTTTATGTCCGAATGTCAAGTACCAATCCTGACAGGCCTGAAATATGACAATTTCAGACTCGAACTGTTATTTCAAAAATAATGAGGTAAAAAGCACTGAATGAGAGGTCATTGCATGTTTTATGGCAAAAGCAAGAGACTGCATGTTAACATGCAAAATGTCACCACCTACCATTTGTTACAGATGCGGACCACGAAACACCAACTGCTCAACACTAGCCACATAAAAATTGGACTAAAGCAATATCACAATCAATAAAACAATCACTTACTGATAACTCGTCCATTGAAGGTGAAGAATAGAGAACTACTTGTTACATCTAATCCACACCCAAGGCTCTCAGCCTCCTGTGGTGTAAACTGAAACAATCAAATGCTAAATTATTGCATACATGTCAATAAGTCATATGTCAATCATTGAAGGTTGCATTATCACCCAAATAGGCAAGAGTCATTGTAATAGGTAAAGTTGCCAAAATATCATAGTCTCCCACCCAGTATCCTAATACATGTAATATGACAACTGAATCAATATTCAGAAATTCACTTCTTCAACTGTACCTAAAAACAGGTACATGTAAAATGCAAAATGTCACCACCTGACATTTGATACAGACGCCAACTGCTGACAGCTGAACACCAACAACACCATCCACAAAAAAGTTGGAGACTTTTTGGTGGTAACATAAAAACTGCCAAAAAATTCCAATGGTATTATTTTATTCTGAATTCACTCTTTGTATTTGTCATGGTTAACTTCAAGATAAATATATTTTTTGCTTAAAAAACTCGAAACAACAGAAAAATTACACCTAGTCATATGTTTTACCTTAAATCTCTGTCCATCTGGTAACATAAGAACATTCTCAGTTAGTGAACACACAATTTTGGCAGATTCATCCATACTGGAGTAACCAAACTGTACAGCCATCTTTTGGACTTTCAGTGACTCTGGGGTTACTTCAAAGTATAAAGCAGCCGAAGAGGACTTTGGGGACAGTGTCAAAGGTCCCAATTCTGTTGGTTCCAGCTTTGTTGAAATATCAGGTAGGGCTGCTATCTGTAAGCAACAACAATTATAAATCAATGTGTGAGGTAGTCATATAATACAGCTCATAAGCAGAGAAACCTCAATTTGGCATTAGTAGAATTGGTATTAAGAATATAAGCGAAGATTTTTACAAATTGAAAATTAACTTCAAAACAAAGAATATTTGAGGGTTTGGTGAAAAACCAAGATGCTGTTTCTATTAGTTTTTATATACTCTGATCAAAAATAATATAGGCAAATGATAGGATGGTGTCTCAACAGCTAACTAAGAAATCTAGTGACTCATTTTAATATATCAACAATGTATCCACATCAACATTTTTTTGATGTAGAAAAAATGGAAAGTGACAATAAAACTTCCCATGTTATTTTCCCATAAAGATTTTGTCATTGGCCTATGACATAACATGTAAAATTCCATTTCCAAGTTCCGTTTTTTCTACATAACATCAAAAATAAATAGTTTGATATTTCTAAAATGACAATCTACCACAGATGTTTTAGGAGAGAAAAAATCACGAAGTTTGGTTGCTAATCCAAAGATTATCTGTAAATTCCAGACATCGTTAAACTTTTTTTTCACCAAACCCTCCAAGATTCTTTTTAATTTGGTATGTTCACTGTACTCTCCACTTTTCAATCTCCTCCAAAAGTATTGACATTATTCTGATGGTGGTGAGTTACCTCATTTAAGTCTTCTTTGGTATTGCTATTGATTTGCTTATTGTGGCAACATAGTTTATAGATGGAGCAGTACTCATCTTTCTTGGACAAATATCTGGAAAACAAAATCACATATGCATATTCAGTTTACATTTATACATGAGCGAGAAATTTAATGCATGAGTAAAACTACTTGAGGATCTAAAAAATAAAAAAAAATAACATACATGTACATGTAAACTAAAAAGCAGTGCAGTCTAAACAAGGCATTGACATGTAAAATGTCACAGCCTGCCATTCGTTACAGACACCATGTTACAGACACGAAATGCGATACATCAACTGGCTTCCGCAAAAAAGATGGAGACCATAACAATATGCCTTTTATACTGAGTCTGGGTCCTAAATTCAGCCATTTCTTTGCAGTAGAGTGAGCTGTGACTTACTTTGATGGTTGGGTCCCTAGGTTGATCTCTATATGCTGACCAGTTGATAATGACACTGCAGGGTACCATATGGCCGACATGTCGATTCCTGAAATAAAGGCCAATGTGTCAATAGAATTGTTCAAATCCCTTCCTCTAATAACTATAGTTTGAAGTATGATTTACTAAATATTAGAGAGATTTCGCACATAAGTGAAAGTACAACTTATACGTATACGTATACTTTAAAGGGTCATGTCGAACTATTATATTTACTAAAATCAATTTTAAAATTTTAAATTGCACTTAATGGAACAATTACTATTCCCGATATAAAAAAGCTCCATCAACTAGAGACTGTGAATGCACTGTCATCTGCACGTGTAGATTATGCACATTATAATCAAATGCTTGCTTTCGTGTCCTAGTAGTTGTAGTGTATTATAAACACGATCCTTTAAAGTGAGTCATGGTCCTTTAAAGTGTGTCATTACATAAACAAGTTGATTATTTCAAAGTTTTCATGATCAGTATAAGTTCAGTGAACTTACAAAACGGTATATATATGTAGATGATAAACGTATACAGTTGGATCTCAGTATAAAGCTTTACCCACATGTGTGTGGAACAATTGACCGGAAGCATTTTTTTAAATTAATTGGCTGAGTAGGAACAGTATCCAATCAAAAACTTTAACCATCAATTTGAAACACCAATCAAACCAGTAGGTTCTAGCAATTCCTGGAAACGACCCATTCGGTAGCTCAACATTCAACAAATGACATACAGGGTGTTTCATAACGAGCATCTCCAAAAGTCAATTTGAGAAGAGATGGGTCTATAACATACGTACTATATATGAGCTTATTTTATTCTAGACAAACACATTTGGATCAACTAAACATGCTACAATTCAAGAAAGTACAAATGGCATCCCTTTGACCTTTATTTATTACAGTCCGAGAAGATCTTTCCTGATGAAAAGCCCACATTATGAAACACCTTGTACGTTTTCTTATAAGTATAAGTATACGTTATAAGTTGTACTTTCACACCGTGCGAAATCTCTCTATTATTTCACTTTTTCAACTTATCTTAAATATATATTTTAACTTTTTCAAACTTTTATAATCTGACAATATTCATGTACCTTGAGATTTACATACAGTCGTTTCAAATCTTTTCATTCTAGTGTCTACGTTAGCTCTATATGTTATTTTAAACCATAATAAAAAGGTTACCTTTAAATGCTACACCTTGGTGGTGCCCATTACGTAAGAAGTACATCTCCCCTGTTTTAGAGAGCATACAAGTGATAACATCAGCCTCTTCCCATTGTTCACCATAGTCATTATCCTAAATAAATAACATTGCAAGTGATTTTCAGAAAGCAACATCCAATTTCAACAGCTCATTTTAGACTTCAATAGAGAGATTTCGCAACTTACTTATAGTATGTTTTTTATTCCTGTATAAAGTATAACTTATGAAGTGTTTGTTACATCATCATTTATTGCACAGCTCTATATTAATATGTCCATAAGTGTGATATTCTTATAAACCGTTGTCTTATACGTAAGAATATCACACTTATGGATGGATAAATCGTTGTGGATGTACCTGTATAGAGCTGCCCAATAAATGATGATGTAACAAACGCTTCACAAGTTATACTTTATACAGGAATAAAAAACATACTATAAGTAAGTTGCGAAATCTCTCACTTTGATTTTATAAAAAATGCCAAACTTTGTGACAAAGAATTTCATCAGCTATTGCCCCGAACCGGTCCGTCTTCTCGCTGCAAGCAGATTGCCCCGAACCGGTCCGTCTTCTCGCTGCAAGCAGGATGAAATTCTTTGTCACGAAGTTTGGCATTTTTTATAAAATCAAACGCGCGTCATTGAAACTCACAAGATGTAAATAGCATGTCATTAACATCATACCTTGATGGGGAAAAATAGATCTTATATGTTAGAAGTACTAAATAAAAGTTATTGTGAAAATGAGACAGTCGTTCTCGAGAGAAAAGAGCATAAATGCGCATTTAGAGAGTTTTGGTCCGTTTAAAAATCTGTAAAAAATTGGGGTACTTAAAAGCATCGGGAGGCATCATATATTTCAAATTAGACACGAGGAAGTCAATATTGAGCAAGTTATGGCTATTTTAAATTCAAATAAAACCGTTAACCCGTACCGGTCCAGCTTTTGACCCGTACCGGTCAATTTTCGTTAGCTGCGTATACCAAGGGTGTTATAGAAATGCCCAGGAAAGATGTAAATCTTATTACAAACATCAGAGTGTTAACTGGCAACCTCATGTACAACTTGCCGCAGTTTTAGATTTGGCTGTTGTCCTGACAACTTTTGTATATTTCCTTCAAAACTTTTAAGTTAAATCAATTCAAATATGAGTGGCTTATTTACACAATTACAACATATCGTGGAAGAACATTTCTTACAAAATGCTGTGTAATTGGGCCATTCCATGTTTTACACCTTGCTCCATCAAAAGCATACGAGTCACAATCATCGCCAACCCCTAGGCCTCTTTCTGGACTGAACCTGCTTTTTCCATTTGTCCAACCTAATTGTACAATACCACTACTTCTTAATGTGACCTACAAAGTATGGAAAAGTGAAGCGATAATGTTTTCTTTTTGCAAAAAATATTCATTTGTTGACATCAAAACTATTGACGGAATTGTAAAAAATGTGATATAAAAATAATAAAAGGAGAAAAGTCATCAGATATTACTAAATTTCAGTTGTAAAATGATTTAAATTTAAATTTCAGGTCTGACAGAGAAACAACTTACTCTAAAAGGCTACAACCACAGCATTCATCACTCAAACGAGAATATCAGAATTTATCAGAATGTGGCAGCACATACCTCATAGTATACAGCTGCAGACTGCTCAAGTAATGGCCCATGTTGTTGGAGATTGAAGCCAAAATCTAGCCATGCACTCTCAAATGTCCAATGGTCATTTCTCAACTGCAATTATAGTAATCACTAATAGAAGCATTAGAATTTACCACTTATTAGTAAACGATTCTACAATAAATAATTACAGATCCACTATAAACACAATATATCTCATACAATTATTGTAGAACAATCACATTACTCTTGCACCAAGACTCTGTGCTTACCCCTCTCTAATCTCTACTATAACTCTACTTTACCTCTCTACTATACCTCCCTCATTTACCTCTCTGCTTAGCCTTCCACTTTAGCTCTATATTTAACTGTCTACTTTACCTCTCTACCCGACCCCTCAAACTCTATAACTTCCTAATTCCCATGTTCTGTTGAAGTGAGGTGTTTAGAGGGAGTGTCAAAATGGCTTGATGCAAGACTAAGATTGCATGAATAATAACTTGTCATTTAAAAGCTTTAGCACAGTACTTTAGTATTGCAGATAAGGATGCATGACTTTTCCAAATTTTCCATATTGATAAGTAACACATACTTGTTAACAATCCATAATCTGTTTGGAGGATGTGAATAGCATCCTGCGTTATATCAAGAATAACATCAGTTTCAGACTCTGATTCCAAACTTACCGCAAGATTGTTCCGAGACATGAGTAGAGCTTCACTACACAGGAAGTTACAGGTGGCGATATCTTCACTTTCCTTCGACTCAGCAACACCACACATCATAATTACTGATGCTAACTGTAAGTGAAAAAAAATTCTTTCATAATTTGAGAATGACAATGTTAATTATACATGTATCTTTGAAGTTTTACTGTTTGAGTACACATGTTTCAGCCTTTCAGCTTTTTATTGTGACAATGACACATCACACTGATATTTTGAAATTTTGTATTTTACAACTATCTTGTTTTTTGTATTTTACATCTTATCATGCTGTATTTGTATTTTACAACTTCCTTGCATTCTTTTAATCAATAGTTTTGTATATTGTAGTGACTAATAATATAAGCCATCAGATATAAAAGATACTTGAAATAAACTGCATTTGCTGTAACACTTCAGACCAACTTTCACCTTAGTTACATGTATCATATCCAAAAAACTTACATTAATGGCAGATTTTGTTGTAGGGTCCACAGACAACACAGCTGACCATACTTTGTAAAATGACTGGTTCTGCCACAGTAAGTCACATATCTTCACAGCCTCCCTATAAAAAATTTGAAAACAAAATTCAAAGCACATAAAACATCACATTTGTCAGATTAATTTTGTTATTTAGCTCAAAAAAACATGCAAAAAATCAGAAATGTTGTTAAACTTGTTACTCCCTCACCTGGACCCATAAAACATACAGTACACCTACCTTCCAACACTGGCACTAGCAAAGGTCTGAATGATAAAGATCTTCATCTGATTCAATAGCTCTTCATAATCACTCAACACAGAAGGAGGCACTTTTTCTATGGCAACACTGGCATTGAGTTCTTCAGTAAAGGAACAAGATTCTGGTCTTGATACAACAGTTGACGATCTAGCCCCATAATAAGAGCTTTCATCATATCCGCTGATTGCAGACACTTCAGTGAAATGAGATTCTTCAGTTGTTAGGGACTGCCCATTAATTGATAGTGATTGACCATTGGCTTCTATAGATTGCCCATTGGCTTCTATAGATTGCCCATTGGCTCCTAGAGATGGCCCAGCCAGTTCAGACACATGCACTTTAGCTTCCAGTTTTGATTGATCAAATAGTTCAGCTGTATCCTGACTTGTACTCTCTTGAGATCTTTCTTCTTTTGGTCTTGTTTCATTGGTTGCTAGGGACTGTTCATTGGTTGCTGGGGACTGGTAGTTGGTTGCTAGGGGCTGCTCATTGGTTGCTAGGGACTGTTCATCGAGGATTTTAGATTCCCCAGTGGAGGTTATACGAGGCCATAAAGCTTGAAGTGTCAAACTATTCAACTTTTCTAGTAGGGTTGCCATGGTATCCAGTATGCCTTCTTCTAATAACTGTACCCTGCTTTCATCTATAGAAACAGAAATGATTAAATTTACAATTGTGAAATAAGCTGCAACAATTCTCGTTGCGAAAAACTAAAATTTAAAAAAAACAGTTTTCGCAAGAACATTTTGCAATTTATTTACAATATATTTGCCTATACATGTACATTTTTCAATCTATCATCATATGAACATAGTAATGTATACATGTATATCTTTAATTTTCAAAAATAAACTAATGTACATGTACCTGTGATTGTCACAACTGCAATGATTCTTAGAGCAGCAAGACAATGTGTCACTCTCATTGGCTGGCATTCTAGTGATGTCACAAAATCTGAATCCATTATCCTAAATAAAGAGACCAAGGAATAGAAAAAGTAACAAGAATAACTACATGAATGTACATGTACAAAATCTTATATAAAGAATATGTTGAATAACAATAATTAACATATGTAAAGGTGGCAATGAGTTATATTTTGGATGTAAACATCTGGCACTTATCAGTGATCTCATAACTTGTGACTTCAATTCTTGTTGGAAGTCTGTTTATACTTATAAATAGGGCCTCTTAAGGAACATGGTCTTACCTTAACATCTCATGAAGATAGTTTAGCACAGGTAATTTATGAAGAAGGACATTCCTGTGTCTCTCTATGCGACATAACACCTCCAATAGCTCCAGTTCCTGAATAAGAAAAGTGATTTATTATTCAACTTTCAAGGCATGCCAAATCTAGAGTTGAGTTGAACTCATTGAACAAAAGTCACACCCCAAGTTACACGCTTCCAAGTTGAACAAAATCATACACCTCTAAGTTGAACTAAGTATATGCCTCCAAAGTTGGTTTGACTTGATGAACTTTATTTGATGAACATGTTAATTATGCCATAGACTTCCATGTAAAAAGAAAACAATTACATGTCAAATGTCACCACCTGCCATTTGATACACAGATGCTGTGCCATTTGATATAGACACCGAATTTGTCATAGACGCCGAACACTAACCACCATCCACAAAACAGTTGGAGACAATACTGCTGGAGACATAAAAAATCAAAATGTGAACTCAGCCAATCCATTGACTTTTAGCTGGTCTCAATGATGCTTGGATTATAAAGGTTTTACTATTGTAAAAAAGACTCGGGACTTTTACTGAACAGTAAAATAATAAGACTCACTGTAATCTTACTGATCTGTGAATCAGGGGGTGTGGTCAATATATGATTGACAAGGGGCACAAACACAATTCTGTCAACCCGATCCCCGACTATGTTTCCTGAAATAAAAAAATATACAGATATTATCCAGTGATCTCCCCAGCATTAAAGCAAGTCGGCACAGCACCCACCTGAGATTTTGATAATAGGCTTGCACACACCTGAAAATCCATTACACCCACTTGAAAATTAGAAAACCCACGAAAAAGTGGCATATTTTGACCAATTTTGGTCTGATTTGTGAAAATGAGAATTTTGCACACACTTGAGAAAAAATCTTGTGGAGATCACTGTTATCCTTAAACCAGAAGCAAAGCCTAAACAAATGCAAATAACCTGTCAAGAGTAAATGCTTTTCACAATAAGAGGACAATCAGCTATAGAAAATTGGAATTTCAAGACTTTTAGATGTCAATGTTATACAAGTTTTACTGTATGCACTTTTTACTGAACTGTCACAATACCATAAAATTCCCAAAGGATTGGAAGCGATATGGTGAACTAAATTCAACATTGTTTTTGTCAATCTGAAAAAAACATCTTGTATATAATGGTCAACGATTGACAACAAATTAATGTGAAAATTATTGATAAATATTTCATACAATTGTTAGTTTTTAGTGCAATTGTTTTTTGTTCTTTTCTACTAATTTCTGAGAATGGAATAAAATATCTATCCGAACCTTGTTAGAACAAAATGGCATATACACAGTGTACAATATTGAGAGACCTAAATATGTTGTGTACATGTCAGTTTGTTCCAACGAGGTTTGGATAGATGTTTCATTTCAATCCAAACATATGGTACCAAGAACAAAAGTCAGTCTGATTTGTTTTCTCAAACAATATACTAAAAATATGGATAAATATTTTCAAATAAATTGTTACCATTTGAAAGATGACTATTTTAGTATTCTACATTGATGATGTGTGAATTTTTCAGAATCTTTTGATGACTGATTTCAGAGAAAATGTGTTTTTAGTTCACCATATTGCTACCAATTCTTTTTCCCTGACATTTTCAAAATTTTCATTCTAGATGCAATTTTTGAATGATTTTTTCTTATCCAGGAAGATGTTGAATATTTCCCTGACTAGTAGAAATCCAGCTGTTTCATCGCCTTTTGCTGACACTACTCTAAAATCTAATTTACAAATATAATACAATGCACACTCAGGATGCATCACAAAGATGTCAGACTTATTGGTAAACACTGAATTGTATAATTCTATCCATACAGGAAAAACTGTGTCTTCAGTTAGAAGTACCTTTTTCTCAGCACTTACTTCATTGAATCCTCTGAGGTGACTAAATCAGGTAAACACCTCTTAAGGATATGTGTTCAAAATACACAGGTTTAATTGTAACTATAATTCTTTGTATATATTGTGGGAGTTTAATAGAAACACTCGCACAAAAGTATGATTAATTTGCTCCAGGGTTACAACTTAATATCTTATAAACTGTTGGCAGGCTTCCTTACCCCATGTGAACTCAGCATGGATTTTAGGACCAGATTTGATGACAGCAAGTGTTCTGTCTTCTGCAATCTTACAGAGCACTATAACTCGTCCCGTGTCTGCACATTCATAAAGTTCAACTGGTAAACTGATGAACAGGCCTGGAAAATAAAGTACATGTATATTTATTACTTTCTATATTCTACTTATCAATGAGCTATTTGTAAACCCTTCTATTATACTGTACTGTAATCTTTAACATTAGTACCTCAGCTGAAATAATACTGATTCTAACAACAATTACATGAGTATATATTTGATTGAGAGCTTCACCTTTTAGGGACTGATAAGCAGATTTTGTACCAGATAGAACAACAAAGTTGCCAACATCATGTTCTGAGAAGGAGAGTTCAATAGGCTGGCTGTTATCATAGCTTCCTTGGAATGATGCAGCGAATACTTCACAGTTCCACATCAACACTTCAAGCTGGAAAATGTTATCATCGCAGAAATGTAGTTTAAACTACCATCAATTGGGGGATCTCCTAAGTCTCATTCTAGTTTTGTGTACAATATATTAGTTTAACTTGTGAACATGTTACATTGAATGAGTCTAGCATTTTACATATCTTGATTTAAAATGGTTTTAATCAAAATGTATTCATCAAGATAACATTAATCATTGTTGGAATTTTATCATTTTTGAATTCAGACTAACCTCACTGTTGGGTAGAGTGAGAGTGTTACGTCCAAACTTGACTCTTATAGCTGAACCTTCCTCCTCAACCTCAATACAAAGTGGGCTTTCTGAAAGATACTGTCCATTAGCAGTTATCACTGCTTCACTGTGTAAACTCTTTAACCTCTTGAATCCCAGGCTCTAAAATCGGTTGAAACCAGAGAATTTTTCATTTTTGCTATCTTTTGAGATTTTACTACATACCTTTACAACTTTAGACGCTCATCTTAGTAAAATTAGATGGCAGATATCATTTCTACACATTTAAAAACAATTTTCGTGTAAATTGGTTGATAATTGTTCAAATTAGAGCAATTTTAGTGAAAAATTTTGTGGCAGATTTTCTCGTCATTCTGGGTTTCAAGATCTGAGATGACGAGAAATCTTGTCACTCCAGGTATTCAAGAGGTTAAACTAGAGAAAGAGCGTTGATCTTAAGTTGATATCTGATCAAAATACATAATGTACTGAGATAAAAAAAATGACAACATTTTATAATGAAAATTTATGCTAATTCCTTCCTTCACTAGTTTTCAACAATTTGGTATGCACAAAGGTACATGTATACTTTTTGAAAATCTGTTTAAACTTTCATCATTTTTCATCATATTATTGCAGTTATATGATAGTCTTTCACAGTTACCTGTAAACTGTAGCATAGCTTATTTTATGATCTGTAAACTGGTCCTTTGAACCTTTAAACTGTAGCATACAGTAGCTACATGTAATGCTTCACCTGAAGAATGTCCTAGATATGTTTTACCTGTAAACAGCATCATAGCTAATGTTTTTGTACCTGTAAACTGTAGCATACAGTAGCTACATGTAATGCTTCACCTGAAGAATGTCCTAGATATGTTTTACCTGTAAACAGCATCATAGCTAATGTTTTTGTACCTGTAAACTGTAGCATACAGTAGCTACATGTAATGCTTCACCTGAAGAATGTCCTAGATATGTTTTACCTGTAAACAGCATCATAGCTAATGTTTTTGTACCTGTAAACTGTAGCATACAGTAGCTACATGTAATGCTTCACCTGAAGAATGTCCTAGATATGTTTTACCTGTAAACAGCATCATAGCTAATGTTTTTGTACCTGTAAACTGTAGCATACAGTAGCTACATGTAATGCTTCACCTGAAGAATGTCCTAGATATGTTTTACCTGTAAACAGCATCATAGCTAATGTTTTTGTACCTGTAAACTGTAGCATAGCTAATGTTTTAGCTGCCAGTGCTGATATCTGTGAGTTTTCATGTTCACTAATTGCTAGGTCCATAATAACATGAAGGCATCCTGTCTCTAGTATCTCACATTTTACAGCATCTAAAAATGAAGTTTTTTGTGTATTGTTAATTCCACTTTATTAGGGCAATTTACATCATGAAAAATGAATTTATCATTTACTAACTCATTCAGTCAGAAAAGCAACTAAAATCATCCTTCGAAAAGAAAGCAACAATTTCTGAAATTTACACCTCTTCCCAGATTAATTTCAGACTTTGACAAATCTGCTTTTTCAGAATACTATTGCTAAAAAAGTTCAGCTATTTGTTAATACTATATTACGGAAAGCGAAAGGGGATATACCGCAGAATTTAAAATTCAATGGAGTTTTAACATGGGAGTGATAGCACACACCGCGGCCCAGTCAGATATATTTCTGCGCACTTTATTTATTTCATTCACTTTGCACAACGCGCCCCCTGTAATTCATTCAGTGCGCAATTAAAAATTGTTTATGAGTGATATCGCACACCGCGGCCCAGTAAGATCGAGCTGCGCACTTTATTTATTAACACACTCAAAATATCGCGCTGAAGCTTGTATATGCTGGCGCGATGTAATTATAGTTTTCTGTTGATAAATGCCCAACAAGAAACGGTAGCACAACGAATTCAACTTTTTTCGAAAGACTGCAGACTTGACCTGCGAAATTGTAATTTTGGATCACAGTGATGCCTCTAGAGAGGATATCTATGAGAATTACAGATTATAGTGCGCAGAATTATAAAGTCAAACTGACCTCAAAATGGTAGTACACAGTGTACACTGCCATCTTTCAATAAAGTAACTACAGACCTTCGTATACAAAATACCTGAATGATTGATGTAATACCTGTATACCATTTCTTCTGGGAGAAGGAAAGTTCCTATATGTATTCCATGGCCGTAGCCAGGGGGCCTCACCCCCCTCCCCCTTGCCAAATATTCGTTCAAAATCATGCAGTTTTTCACCATTCTTAGTAACACTTTTCGCATGATTTTTTTGCCATAACTGTCAAAAAGCTCCCCCCCTCTTGGCCAAATCTCCCCCTTGGTAAAACCACTCCCCCAGGTTAATCCAGGATACGGGTCTGTATTCTTAGACGAGATTGTTCAAGAACATAAGGTAGACATAAGTGCCACCTGTTAAAAGCTAGGAGATCTTTTCTAAGTTATTAAGTCATCAATCAGCAGACTGGTAATTGTATCCCCCACCCACTTCAAACTCCATACACTAACATACTATTACAATTTTATCTGTGTTTATTTGACTGTAGAAGGTGTACATTCATAGCATTGAATTGCATTTCATTGCATTGTATTGTATTGTATAGCACATCATTGTATTGTATTGTACTGCATTTTATTGTATTGCACTGCATTGTATTCTATTGCACTGCATTGTATTCTATTGCATTATATTGTACTGTATTGCACTGTATTATATGATATTGCACTGCATTGTACTTTATTGCACTGCATTGTATTGTACTGCAGTGTACTACATTGTATTGCGCTGCATTGTATTGTATTGCACTGCATTATAATGTATTGCATTGTACCACATTGTGTTGCACTGCATTGTATTACACTGCATTGTTTTGAATTGCACTGCAATATATTGCACTGCACCATATTGTATTGCATTGCATTGCAGTGCACTGCATTGTATTATATTGCACTGTATTGTATTGCACAGTATTGTATTGCATTGTCTTGAATTATACTGCATTTTATTACACTGCATTGTATTTTATTGCACTGCATTGTATTGTACTGCAGTGTACTGTATTCTATTGCACAGCATTGTTTTGTATTGCACTGTATTGTATTGCATTGTATTGAATTGCACTGTATTGTATTTTATTGCACTGCATTGCACTACATTGTATTGCACTGTATTGAACTGCGATGTATTGTATTGCACTGTATTGTATTGCACTGCACTGAACTGCGATGTATTGTATTGCACTGTATTGTATTGCACTGCACTGTATTGAACTGCGATGTATTGTATTGTACTGCATTGTATTGCACTGTACCACATTGTATTGCACTGCATTGTATTGAAATGAACTACATTGTATTGAAATGAACTACATTGTAACTGTATTGCATTTTATTGCACTGCATTGCACTACATTGTATTGCACTGTATTGAACTGCGATGTATTGTATTGCACTGCATTGTATTGCACTGTACCACATTGTGTTGCACTGTATTATATTACACTGCATTGTTTTGTATTGCACAGCAATATATTGCACTGCACCATATTGTATTGCACTGCATTGCAATGCACTGCATTGTATTATATTGCACTGTATTGTATTGCACTGCATTGTATTGCACTGTACCACATTGTATTGCACTGCATTGTATTGAAATGAACTACATTGTATTGCACTGCACGGCATTGTTTTGCATTGCACTGCATTGTATTGCATAATATTGCACTGTATTGCACTGCATTTTATTGTATTATATTGCACTACATTGTATTGTATCATATTGCACTGCATTTTTTGCATCATATAACACTGCTTTGTATTGCATCATATTACACTACATTGTATTGCATTATATTGCACTGCATTGTATTGCATCATATTGCTCTGCATTGTATTGCATCATATTGCACTGCATTGTATTACATCATATTGCACCACATTGCATTGCATCATATTGCACTGCATTTTATAACATCATATTGCACTGCATTGTATTGCATCATATTCCGTATTTACCATTTCGTTACAGTTTTATTACATAAAATGTTATTTATAAGATTATAATTTTCAAACATTGAAAATATTTTATACAATATCAATTAAAAGATATGAAATGGCCCAAAATAATATATTTTCAATGGAACCCTTTGCAAGGGTCACTTCAACATAACGCAACGTGTAATCTGTATGCATACGCCCTCTTTTAATGAACATTATCTTTGAAACCATATTAGAATCGAATCTGATAAAAGTGCGCATGTCCTGGATGTGCTGCGCGCTAGAATCGGGAAATCTCAAAGTTCTCCTCGTTAGAGCCATCAATATTATCCAAAATTGACATTTCGCTGGTTCACTCCGCAGTCTTTCGAAAAAAATCAAATTCGTGGTGCCACGAATTTTTATTCGTTTTTTATTCACAGATAATCATTTTTTCATCGCGCACTGAATGCCGGAATTTCTGCGCACTTTATTTTAATTAACTTTGCACAACGCGGCCCATGTAATTCATTCAGTGCGCGATGAAATCTATCTGACTGGGCCGCGGTGTGTGATATCACTCCCATGTTAAAACTCCATTCGATTTTGAATTATGCGCATGTCCCCTATCGCTTTCCGTACTATATTATTATATTACCTGATGTCATGGTCATATTGAGCAGCATGGCAGCTCCCCAGAACTTTAGCTCTGGATCTTGTCCTGAGGAAAAGTGTAGAACAGTCTTCAATACGCCATCTCTCACTACACCTGCTGCTAAGGTCTCTAACAAAAGAACAGTGAGATTACCTGTAGAGCACTCATCAAGATGGATTATTAATTTTAAGTTTTTCCACAAATTAGTGAACCAAATGGATGAGTGTTCAGAGTGCACAAAAGAAGTAGCATAGCATTTAGCGATCAATCCAAATTATTGAGTTATTGAGATCATTCACCACATGAATTCTACTGATTATGTGAGATCTACATATCACATACTCACCACATGAGTTGAAGAATCCAAGAGTTTCGGCTAGTAATCGCTGTATCACAGAATCTGGGGCTTGGGTTAGGCTCACCAGGGACACAATCAACTTCTCACTATTCTTGTAAACCTTCTCAGCCATACCCTTCCCTATTTGGATAAAAGATTCATCTCTTTTTATTTTAATAGTTCAGTTAAACCTATCTTATCCAAACACCAATGGGACTGGTAAATAGTATCTAGATTATTGAGTGTTCAATGTTCTTATTTCAAGATTTTTTAATATTTGAATCAAGTCAATAGGAGATAACAAAATAGGAACCAAGAAAAAGTATTCACATTGAGAGATGTTTGGATGAGATACATGTACATATGTAAAGCAGGTGTTTGGATGCATAGGCTTTTCTTTATATAGGATTTAATGGTAATTATGCAAAAGCGATTCCATTTCCTTAATGTATTTGAATGTCTTTTGTTTAATGGAATGTTTTACATTCCGTAAAACATTCCGTAATGTAGAAAGAAAAACTGTTTATCATCACTTAAAATTTGAGAGGAAGAAAGGGGATGAACCTAAAACTGAAAACATAATCACTTTTGCACAGTGATCAAATACTGACATTATTTTGATCAAGTACCCGGGAATCACTTTTAAATAGAAAATCCACGCGCTCTTGATCTATATTTTTTGTAAAACACGTTTCCTTGGAGAGCAGAATAGAAATACTTGAAATTATTAGAATTTTCTGATTTTTTCAATGGTGATACTAGGGGGCCTGTACTGAATGATAATTTAAATTTTAAGTTGCTATGGTGTCATCTTTTTCCGTCATCTTTCTGTAAATAACCTTGAAACTTGCGATTGTAAAGTTGTTGCGTCAAACAGACATGTTAAGGTCGGTTGCGGGAGACGTCGTTTTACACCACTGTTTCTGGACGGATTTCGAAAATAATTTCACGACAGTAATCAGTATGAATGTAAGTATTTCAATAATTAATTTCACATCCACACTTTTATTCTAAATTATGTTTTATCATGTCTAAATATTGAGGAATGAACTGCGCTAAAATCTAAGTGTACTGAGCAGTGGGTGCATGAACATTACGCATTCGGCAATGCTTTTCTCAAGAGAAATCAGACGACGCTTGCAGTAAATATTGTCCAATGTTTGTTACATATAAATTACAATCTCGTGGACGTATAAGTACAGCCATGCACTTTCTCCAAATAAATGACTCAAGCTTTCTCCATTAATTGATGGTTAGTGATTACATTATTATTAACATACATGTAGATATACTGCATCTGGAGGCATCATTTCGTACAGTGCAATCGTGATGAGGGGTGATCAAAATTTCGTCACTTTTTGATCACTGTGTTGTGCTAATACATTTTTTATATTAATACATTCTCAAAAGAGAAAATATCTGAACCAGGACCAAACTTATTTGGTTTAATTGTAAGCCATAATAGAGACATTACCTGACATTGCTAGATCATGTATAAGAACCAATGCCCAGTGGACGACTTCTTTATCACTACTTGCCAAGTATATGGACAAATGTTTCATGAGATCTTTCTGCTGCACTAGCTGTTCTTGGAAAACATCTGAAAAATAAATGAACATATGTGCAATTGTGTACAAAAATGAACCTCTATTATTATAAATAGTCAATATACAGAACCTGTAGAAAACAAATACATTAACTGTACATGTATCTTATTTAGAAAAATGTTTTTAACTTAGATATCTAGTTGAAATTGAGACATAGCGCATTCCATGAGGAATTAGAATACAATAAAGTAAACTTCATATTATGAAGAGGAAATAAGATAAACACTAACCAGGATAATAAGATAAACACTAACCATTCTTAAGAGCTAAGAAACTGAGAAGACGCAATACAAGTCTTTGTACATTTGCTTCACTGTTGGTGAGGATCTTAGTGAGACAAAAAAGAACTCCTGGTACACCACAAATCTCATCTTTGCATAAATCTACAAGGGAAATGGTGCATTATCATGACCACCTGTGTGACAATTTGTTACAGATCCTGAGGGCCAACCACCAAATCCATGGTGATTACTCATTTTATAAAATAAATGAAGTTGATGGTTCAAATAAAGGTTATTTTTATTTCAACTGTGTCATTTTTATGACAAACATTTTTTAAAATCATTCAATTTTACCAATTTTTAGTTGCAGATCAAATGACTCTAGTGATTTTAAGAGTGACTTTATTAGACAGTGTTGACATCCTCCCTTGTGCCACACAAAATCACTGCTGTTATCATAAGATTTGAGCATTAAATGTATGATTCAACAGTCATAACAAAATGCAGGTCAGGGGCTCACCATTGACAGTAAAATCGTGTAGCAAAGCCAAAGAGGAATAGATGCATTCTGGGTCATCAGATTTGAGGCACATAACAACGGGACGGACAATATTCCCTCCACATATAGCTCTCAAAGTTTTCTTGCTTTCTGTAATTGCAAATAAACTTGCAAAATATGTAATATAAGATATTATAGCCACATATTATATTTGGTCGTCGAGTTAAATGAATAAAATGAAAAAGATCTGGCTTATCAACTTGAAACACCTTGTTTCTGGCACATATAGATTTGTGTCAAAAGGTTGACATACAAACATTTTATCCAATGATCTCAAATATGACACTATGTGAAAGATTGTTGAATCACTTTGACAACAAAACTAATTGTGTTACCATGACAACATACCTTGTTGTGTTACTATGACAATGTAACATTCTCGCTTTGTACTGGAATACTATTAATATCTTGTGTAGCTGTCATAAGAAATCATGTTGCCAAAATGTATACACCTCATGCTGTGATACTTAGACAATATACCACACCTTAAGTTGTGTTACTTAGACAACATACCACACCTCAGGTTGTGTTACATGTACAGACTAAATACCTTGTTGTTTGTAATAATTGGACAACATACCTTGTTGTGTAACTGTGACAAAGATGACAAGGATCTGTAGGCTAACCCTCTGTAGGGTGGGGTCTCCTTGGTTGCTATGAAGACAGGCACACATGGCAGAAATACCCCCTGCATCAATAACTTCGGAGCTGAGAGGCTCTGTAATGGCAATATTATGAAATGAAATACATATACTTACCATATAAGGCAGAGTGAAAAGATAAAATGTTATTTCCATTCATTTATTCTTAAGTTTGAACACATCTAAATAGACTACTATTGACTTTTCGTATTTATTATGGAAAATCAATATGTCTTGGGTATTATGCTCATATGCAAACCTCCTAACTTAATTTTTCTCATTAAAGGGGTATACTATATATGTATGTTTGAAAATGATTAAAAAACATTATGGGAACATTTGAATCTAACTAAAATGAAGATTTAAACCAACAGAGCTTTGGCAAGATTTTCTCCACTCATCAAAAACCTATAACAATGTCCACTGTAACAGACTTGATGACCTAAGATTACTACTGTAGTCTCATACATGAAAAGTTTAGTGGTGTTTTAAGGCCTTATTTTTTAATTTCAGGCCATATTTTGAAGAAAATGGGCCTCAAAATTTCAAAATTTAGCCATAATTGTGTTGTTCAACAGTGACAGCTTCTTTTCAATTCCTAATTAAACAAAAATGAATTTGAATTTCCTGCACTTAAAGTCTAATAATTGATGATTGTTTAAATTTCTGTAAATACCAGGACAATTTCCTTTAATAATTATAGCCAGCTGGGGGGGAATCACAATCTGTGTGCAAAAGTATCTAGTGTTTACATCAATATTTCTCAAGAAATAATATGAACAAGGCTCACCATGCAGCACAATCTGATGAATTGTATACAAGGCAAACCTCATAACTTCCTTTCTGTTTGTTGTTGTGAGGGTTGCCAGGCAACACTTCACAAATTCCTTGTTCTGCTGACACAAGAACTCCTTACATGATGCTGAAATGGGATAGCATAAATAACTTTTTATATGACAATGGAATCAATATGTACATGTACTCACACATACATGTTTGCAGCGCCTACTGTATTCTTAAAGCAATTCAAGAGTAAACTTTCTCTTTATCTTGAAAAAAAAATCTTCTAGATTTGTTGAATTTTCTTGCAGAAATCGATGCCTTATTTTATCCGATCACAAAGCGTAATGTTGCATTTATACAGTTTCATATGACATTCTACGGCCGAGATCTTAACTGCTAAACGGACGCTCAGCGTTATGTTTTAGGCATCTTTACGCGATTTTTATTGAACCCTTCATTTCATTAAAATATTTCAAATAAAATTATGAATTACTATAAAAGGTAAATAAAAATAGAAAATAATGAATAATGCGTTGAAAGTAATAACTTCTTTCAAATTATGAATTGCTATAAAAGGTAAATAAAAATAGAAAATAATGAATAATGCGTTGAAAGTAATAACTTCTTTCAAATTGCATTTCTCCCTTGGAATGCTAGTTTAAAATGATTACAGTTATTAATGTTGCAATGTTGCATTGAATTCTACGGCCGAATCTTACATGCTCATCAACTGCACTGGTGGTGAACGACTGCGAAGCGGACGCTCAGCGCATTGAGCGCTGGCGATCTACGACCGCATCTCGCGCGAATAGCGAGCGACCAACGAACGCTCAGCGCACGAACTACGCCCGCTTCCCGAACGAGTGGACGGCGGATGGCGATGTGTGAGCTTTATTACTGAGAGTAATGTACTCATGCACATGTACATGTATATCTTTTATTTGTTGCAATTCCAGGGGTTTCCCAGGTACCTATATGTATATCAATTTTTTAACTTAAAAAAACTATATTATACTTGATATATCTTGTGCAAAAAGGAAAGTTTTGACAGTTATATAATTATAATAATTTTCATGCTATTAGTATTTCACATTAATTTTTTCCCCTTTCATGTTGTTCAAATTTTGCTCCCCCTCTTCTTTGTCTAAAAATCATGAATTCAAGATAGTGAGGCACTCTTACCTGATTCAACAATAAAGTCAAAAATTGCACAAAGGGCCAACTGCTGCATGCTATCACGATAGAGGGCACCCTCATGTGAAAGGGAGTCCTCATTGGTGGAGACACTTTCTACAAACAACTCAGCTAGACGCTTCACAAGCCGGTAACCCATCCCTTGGGACCTCATATCAGCTAGAAGGAAAAACAGGAAAAAATACATTATCTGTATTATAAGTTGTTTTGTTATATAAGTCATTTGTTTAATCATAATACAAGTATATTATTGGACAAATTGAATTTTTAGATTCTTATTGAATATAACAAACAACAAATACTTTTCCCCAATTACATAGGTTGTCATTCACCCTTCCATCTGACTGCATTTACATTGTACAGTACCTGACTTTAAAAGGACACTCATTACTGTGACAGCTTTGATCTGTTCAGCTGTTTTCTCACAGTATGACCAATTCAGCAGTCCTGTCATAAGACTCTCTGGAATGCATAAAATGCACTTTATACAACCATATAAAATAGTAAATGCTAATACTTTCAAATTAATTTGGAGTAATTAAAAGCTCAAGCTATAGTCTTTGCCATCATGACCATTATGTTTAACTGAACCTACCATTTCTGGTAACTCTTTCAAGAATCATCTGCTCTGCACTTTTCCTCAGTTGCAGGTTACTTGACTTTGTTAATCCATAGAGCAAATTGAGGTCCAAATCTGAAATACATCAAATTGTTGTGCAATGTACATTCACGTTGGACACAAATCAATATTACTGAAATGGATTGAAAGGAATAATAGAGGTACATGTAAGAGAGTAAAAACTAGAAAAATTGCAACAATATTATGACATTCTTTACATTATTTGCATCAGGGTACATGTATTTACTAAGCTTATGTGAAATTTATGCTGCACACTGTACTGCACACACAGAATCATTTACCTTAGTGTCAAGATTTCTAGTCTTACGTGTATCAGGGTTCTCATCAGGACATTTTTTCGCGGTATCGCGACTTCTCCTCTGTCCCATGTGAGATCAGAGATATCCCATTATTATATTTTTCAAAATACAACTTAAGATTTATCTTTCTATTTTAATCACAATATACATGTACAGTTCTAAAAGGTTTCTGACTTCCTATTCCTTGTTTGTATCTAGTTTTATAGTCTCACAAGACTATAAGTCTTAGATTAGATAAGTATAGGCCACTAGTAGTGTATGCGCACAAGACTAGAAGTCTTGGAACTAAATAAAGAATCACATTAAATCATAAGCATCAGAACAGATGTAGTAGAACTGTCCTGAAAAAATCATGATACAGAAAGATTGGAAGGGGGTTATTTAACCTTATGACTGTTTTAGTCATTACAAAAATAGATGTCATCAATAGCAACAGTGATACATGTATGCAGGGTAGGGGGATTTTCTTTACAGGATAACTCTAGCCTAAAACTGAGGTACAGATATCTTGGTGGAAGTTCTCCCAAACCCATATAGGCTACTCACGGTAGTTGGAAGTTCAACACAATAAGTAGTAAATATCAGGTTAGGAAAGATCCATGTAGAATTTCATTTATGGATACTGTGCACACTGGCGGATCTTGGGGGGGGGGCTGGGGTCCCTTGGGTGGGCCCAGAAAAAATATTTGGGCCAAAAAAGACCTCCAGGCCCCAAAAAGTGGGCCTTTTAGGTCATAACTGGGCCTTTTAAGGCCTTATTTTTTAATTTCAGGCCATATTTTGAAGGAAATGGGCCTCAAAATTTCAAAATTTGGGCCCACTTTTGTGTTTTAGGGGCCCAAAATTTTTGGGCACCTAAAAGAAGTTTTTTTCTCTGACCTGACATTTGGCCCCCCCCCCTTGTTGGTTCCCAGATCCGCCCCTGGCGCATGCGTCTCGCAATGTGATTGGTCATAAGGCGGAGAGCGGATCATTTTACAAATTTTGCAGTCATCATCATCATCATCAAATTCTGAGCTGAAAGGTCTTAAAAAGTCCTGTAGTTGCTCAGATCTTAGTTTAAATGTATGTAATAGATATTAAACTACATGTATATCATAGTGATAATTTAGCCAAAATTTGTCTAGTCTCCCTTTAAACTGATCTACACTTTGGGCCGTCACTACCTTCTCTGGGAGGCTGTTCCAGTCTTCTATAATTTGGTTGCTAAAGGTGTTCTGTCGAAGGGTGGTGCTACAGTGGTGTTTGTACATTTTCATGGAGTGTCCTCTAGTGGTTGTGGTGGCCTTGGTAAAAAATGAGCTACTGTATGCTTGCTCTATAGTGTCAATTCCATTAATAATTTTATAAACCTGTATCATGTCTCCTCGTCTACGTCTGTAGTGGAGGGAATGGAGCTTTAGCTCTTTAAGCCTTGTTTGATACGGCTTATTCTTCAAATCTGGTATTAATTTGGTAGCTCTTCTCTGTATCTGTTCTATTTTTCGCTCCTCTCCTAAGAGTCTTGGGTGCCATATAATATTGCCATAGTCTAATATAGGTCTAATCATAGATTTATAAAGTGGCATTATGATCTCCTTGGTGTGACTAAAACTTACATCTGCAGTATTATCTTGCCATAATAACAAGATTGAGGTATGAAATATGTTTTTCTAGATTCTTTAGGGTGTTATCTCGAGCCTGTATGACTGCCACATCTCAAAAATCATGACAAGGATGTGTATAATCCATTTGAAAAACATAAATATTTTTGACGAAAAAGATTCTGCACTTGTACATGTAGGCCTAGTTTTAAATAATAAATATGAAAGAAATTCTGTTCACTGTGCTACTCTGCATAAAATGTGGGAGGGGGATAGGGCTCACGGTGAACCGATGGAACGGAACCAGGCATTGACAGTTATAAATAAGAATGGACAATTGAACTCTCATTAGTATACAGTTCATGCTACCTACCATAATTTAAGTTCTGCCCCCTTCTCTCCTGTCCAAATTTTTGGAATTTTTTTCTGAACCCGCCAAAAATCGACCATATTGAAACTAATATTCCTGCACCTAAAGGCACAGACGCTAAATACATCTTCCATTTTTCCATTCTTGCATAGGTATATTTTTAACCTATGAACTTCATCATCATGGTGTGTCCATAGTTACGCTTGAAATCAAATCAAATGAAAAGTTTAGAATTATTTTTGAGTTTTGATTTGTTTTGAAATTTGAAATCCATGACAATAAAACTGTTTAGTCACATCTCACTTACTTAGGCAAAAGGCTATAAAGAACAATTAATATAAAATTTTCGATGTTTACACTTGTTTTGATAAATAAAAAATATACATTCGGAGGTATTGAACTACTATGTATAATTATTTGTCGTTGTTATTTATCAATATATGGCTTGTCACAATTTACTTCCGGCGCCAATTTTTGAGAAAAAATATTTGACTTCGAAATGTTAAACTTGTATTAAAATTAGGTAGGTTATATAACAGACACCACGTATTTAACTTAATCTGTTGTAAAGTATATTTTTTAAACTTCAATGTGATGTAACTATTTAAGTAGTTTGGTGTATTTTGTTTTATATTGAGTATTCATTTCAAGGCAAGACAATTTTCGAAGTAGATCTAGATCTAGAGTCAGTACGTCTATTTCCAAACACCCCCATCAAAAAATAGCTTGGCTGTACTGCACATCTATGCTATGATTCTATATATATCATGTGTATTATCCACTGTAGAATGCATTTGCAGAAAAAATTACGAAAAATTGTAAAAAATATCTGGGTTATTCCATTTTTACTACAAGGTATTTTAAGGGGGTAATTCCGAACAGGAGTTTTTTTGGGGGCAAATCCGAACACTTGCATGGGGGTAATTCCAAACACTTAACTTAAACTTAATTGTTTTGATTATTAGATTGATGGTATATCATTATATGATACCCTTAACTTATGATACTGGATCCTGTCACCCCTGCATATCAAGAAACCCAAATTTAAATCATTTATTACTGACATCTATTTATTTAAACCACAGAGTTTGTGGGGGTAATTCCAAACACTAGCATGGGGGTAATTCCGAACACCTAAATCATCATAATTGATTATTTTATTGTAAGATTGTTGGTATACATCATTATATTGTATCTTTCAGGCTATAAATATTATGTAGAGGTAGTAGAGGTACTATTATTCAATTCAATGATCTGCTTGCCATTATTTGGAACCCGTTCGTGTTTACCCCCCTGTTTGGATTTGGACGTATTGACTCTAGTCTATAGCCTCTAGGCATGGGCATTCAATGGATATTGAAAGCCCATGGCTAGCCTAAGGTTTAAAATTAAAAGATGGGCCAATATAACTATCAAGTTTGACACTGTTTGTGAGAAAAAACAATGCATTCGACGTCAGGATTCACTGTAAAATGGCAAATAGGAATACAAATTCGCGAATCTCTAGACTCGTGAAATAATTACCGAAATCTGAGCTCCTAATTGAGACGAATTATATAGCACCTGGGCAAAACGATTTGATGACTACAGTCAGATCCAAAAATAAAAGACACCTGAAATTTTGGGCACAGTTTGCTGAATTTAAACATTTAATGTACCAAACACTCCTCCATTGCTAGAATATATACTCCTGTAAATGATTATTAGCAGAATAAATGTCTCCAAGGCTTTATATCAGCGTATGCTGGATAGTTTGTAAACATGTGAATCCACTTTTCAAATGGCAGTCATTGTTTTTTTGTAGTTTCTAAGGGGCGGGGTCAAAATATCGATGTTCATATGGAGACGAAAGTACTTTCGCGAGGGGGGAGGGGGTTTTTGGGCACTTTCGTTGACCAAAAAAACATCGATAATTCGGATCTGATATACAAAAAATAATTGGACTTACCCACTTTTTCTGGCGCTATGTTCTGATAAAAAGGCTTGTTTTCAATAGTTCGTGAGCTTTTTTGTGTGATAGGTCCAAAATATCGGTAGATAAAGACGATAATTCGATCATTTTTCAAATAAATTCCGTACTTTTCCCTCCTCCTTTTGAAGAGTTCAATGCAGTTAAATTGCGAACGTGTGTTAATTCACCGTATTAATAAAATGGTGGACATTTAACATGTGGAAATCACTTCAAATTTCTAAGATCTAAATATGGTCATTATGGACACAAATTCCACTAAATTTGTTTTTTCCAGAACATAGAAAATATAGTACTTAATTCCCTGAGGTAAGAATTTATTATATGTGCGACAGAATGTCTTTTTAAAATCGATAGTAATTATTTATGGATCTGACTGTACGTGAGTGTTTATTAACACCACTACTCCATACCATCCAACCCATATTGATGACGTTACACTCGCTCTTGTGAATGCAATATAATGTGATGTCATATCCCTAACAATGATAGTTTTGGAGAAACCCGAACTGTTAGTGGATTTCCCAAATTATTTCACATTTATATACCAAATCATGGGCTCTCAACTATCTAAATCCCACAATCATTGTACATACTTGCGATAAGTGTGGATTGTGTCGACAGATGACACACAGCCAATCACATATAGTTATAAAACATTTATGGCCTTTTTTTGTATAATGTACTGTATAAGAATTAGTTACCCTTTGCATTCGTTCAACTTCGCTTCTAAAAAGAGAGCTTCATCTTCACTCTTTCAGTTTACAATAAATCTCTGAACTCACTGAGCCATTCAGAGTTTGTCGTGGAAATACAGACTAACAATCTATATATGGTTATTTCCTCTGACATCATCGCATAATTAATTAGCATGCATTTAGCATGTGTTCCTTCCAGTTCGCTGATTGGTTGAGAAAAGATCAGCGTGGTAGATTTGAAATGATTTATGACCAGGGCAGTCACTGGCATATAACTGTATTATAGACTATACTAGGCAGAGGGTAATTTGTAACTAGACTCTTTGCGCAGGGTAAGAATTAGTAAGTTTTTTGAGATCTTTGTTTGGCTATAATAAGGTATAAGTCCCTCAAAATGAGAAGTTAGTAAACATTTTTTATATTGTCATTCTTGTTTTTCAGAATGGTGCATAAATATCCAAACTATTTGAATAGAAAATTTCTATTCAACGTTTGACTTCCAATCCTCTCCCAATTACAATCTACCCAAATGCATTGATGCAATGAAAGAATCGAGAGACACGCTCTCACCATTGGGAAGGGTCAGCCAAAAGCAAGCAGGTACATTTGTCCAGCGTTCAGTAACAAGTGGATCACCTACCGCAAGCACAGGGATGTCCAAGAAAACAGTACTCAGACAGTTAGATGCAGAATTACAGGCGAGTTAACTTGTGCATTGAGTTTTCTAATGCAAATAGCAATAACCCAGCTATTGTGAACTTGTGGTTTACATCTACGTACATGTACATGAATCTTCTATTGTAGCATACACAAGTCAATCTTACAAAATATTCAATAAACCTTATAAGTCAAAAACTCACTGAACCTTCTTTTGTCAAGTTGTTGATGTAGTCTTCAAAATTGGTTAGAATTTGGAATGTGATCTATTTCTAATTTTATGCAGCCTGTTATGTAATTGCAATTTGAAAGTTATGCCAATATAATAAAGAAGTGTTATATGAAAATGAATGGTATGTAAAGAATTGTATGTGAAGTGAATGAATTGAGAAAGAATATTTAAGTAATTTTAAAAACTGTCAAAAATTGCACAATATTTCATTTGTAGGTACGTGCTGAAAGACTGAAGATGTGGAGTCATGGTGATGCTGGTAACCATGGCATCAATAATAACAATGTTAAGAATGGAAATTATGGTAACCATGGTGACAGCAATAGAAACCTGCCTACAACAAGCAAACCATCAGAGGGCAGTACCATACAAAGACCTCGTCCCAGTAATCATAAACTCCAAACCAGGATTATTTCTCAACCAAAGTAAGTTCAAGAATTTTTGTTATGTTATGTTTTTCCACTCTTGATGTCTCTTGAGAAACCAATCTTCTCTCTGTAATATGAGCAATATGAAAGAAATTAAGACAACCAACCCAAAAAACTTAAGTGGTGATTGTTATGTATCTGGTTTCAGTACTGGTCATTAAGATATCTGATACCCTTAACTGAGATTACCATGCCTATAGCAGAGACTTGTAAGTCTGGCTTCCTACTAGAAACACATTAACTATGTAGTTCTTATATTATGTTTGATGTATAATAAAGTCTTGATACAAAACACAACATGATGTCAGATGTGGTCTCACATGAATAAGTAGATCAGAGACATTAACAATGGCAAGTGGATACTCAAAGATAGTGAAGGAATTAGACTTTTATGGCCCTAATCTCTCAGAAGATTGGAAGAGATGGAGAGAACTTATTGAATTAATGTTTGATTCTCCTGATGCCACAAAATGGAAAGAGCAAGAGAAAGCCGCTCAAATTCTCCTTCTCATCGGCGAGAAAGGAAGGGACATTTGCAGATCGTGGATTGCCACTGGGGTACTTTCGGAATCACAAAAGAAGGAGTCTAAAACCCTCCTTGATAAATTTGAGGAATATTGTACACCCAAGAAAAACAGGTCGATCCAGAGGAAAATGTTCTATGAATGCTACCAGTCGAAGGATGAGTCTATTGACGAGTTTGTTACAAAACTTAGACTTATTGGCAGAGACTGTAAATTCCCCGATCTTGATGAGATGATCGCCGACATGATATTGACACATTGCCATTCAACACAAGTCCAAGAGAAGCTACTAAGATACGAGGAGGACCTCACATTAGACCATGCTCTAAAGATAGCACGCTTATATGAGCAGAGTAACGTCCATAAGAACTCTCTTAATTCCCGCACAGAAAGTGGACATGAGGAAGTCAGTATTGTAAAGAAGTCGCAGTCACAAAGGTGTGACAACTGTGGACTGATACATAGAGGAGGCACGTGTCCTGCGGCTAATGAGCAGTGTAACGGATGTTTTAAATTCGGGCATTTTAAAAGATGTTGCCGTAGTGGGAAATCTAGTGAAAAGGACTCTAGACAACGGAGGCAAGGCAAATCTGGAAAACGTAGAAACCCCCGAAAAGTGAACCAGGTGGAGGAATCAGTATCTTCAGAAGATGAAGTGTACTTGGGATCTGTAACCACTGAAATCCCAGACACCCAGACATCAAAGATAGCCCAGATTCCCGCCAAAACCCCAGATATACCCAACTCAAAATCCTGGATTATACAACTAAAAACAGGTGGGCACACCCTTACTGCTAAGGTGGACACAGGTGCCCAGGCCAATGTGATCTCACATGGACTGTTCAAGAGGTTAAGACACCCCCCTATGAAAGCTTCTACCACAAGGCTATTTACCTACAACAGGCAGCCCCTGGACGTCATGGGTGAATGTGATATGCCTTGTAACTTTGAAGGGATAAACTACAAAGTGAGATTCATAGTAATTAAGGAGAAAGCTGACACTTTAATTAGTCTGCAATCAGCTATTCTCTTTGGCTTAGTTTCCAGAAGTAACATTTCTACAGTTGGCTCTGACAGCACACTGACCACAGACCAGTTGGTGTCTAATTACAGCTATTTATTTGAAGGCCTAGGCTGTCTGCCTAGCAAAGTGCACATTACCCTTGAAGAAAATGTCACGCCTGTAGTACACCCCCCTTACAAGGTAGCTGTTCATCAGAGAGACAAATTGAAAACTGAATTAGAGCGAATGCAAAAACAAGGAGTAATTGCCAAAGTGGATGAGCCCACTGATTGGGTGAATAATATAGTTTTGGTTGAGAAGAGCGACAAATCTCTGAGGATATGCCTTGATCCTGCAAACCTCAACAAAGTTATTAAAAGGGAACCGTACCCTACTGCCACAACAGAAGAGATCAGCACAAGATTGAAAGGTGCTACGAGGTTTACCAAATTGGATGCGACAACCTCATTTTGGCAACTTGAACTTGATCACGAGAGTTCGTTGCTTACTTGCTTCAACACACCCTTTGGACGATATCGATTTACGCGTCTGCCATATGGATTAAACATATCTACTGAAAAGTTCCAGATGGAAGTTTGTAAAGTCCTAGAAGGAATAGATGGCGTTGAAGTCCAAGTGGATGATATATTGATTTCTGGCAAAGATGAGGAACAGCTTAAGCATCGAATGGAAGCAGTGTTCCAAAGAGCAAGTGAGAACAACCTCAAGTTTAACAGGAAGAAATGCCAGTTTAATGTGCCATCAGTCACATATGTAGGACATACATGGTCGAAAGATGGATTGAGTATCCCGGATGATCGGATAAAAGCGATAGTTGAGATGAAAACTCCTACAGATAAACAATCACTGAGTCGATTTCTTGGCATGGTGAACTATGTTGCCAAGTTCGTACCACGCTTATCAGAGCTAAATGCTCCCTTGCGAGAACTAATGAAAGAGGATATTATTTTCGAATGGAATAAGCCACAGAAAGAAGCGTATGAGCAGCTGAAAAAGCTTATAACTACAGCGCCAGTTCTCAAGTTTTATGACCCCAATAAGCCATCAGTGCTGAATGTAGACTCTTCGAAAGATGGTCTTGGAGCTGTCCTACTACAGGATGATATGCCTGTATGCTACGCGTCAAAATCGCTCACCCCTGCCCAACAAAACTACTCCCAAATAGAGAAAGAGATGACGAGCATATGTTTTGGAGCAACTAAGTTTCACCAATACCTCTATGGTAAGCCCTTCGTCGTGGAAACTGATCACAAGCCCCTGGAGGTGATCGCAAAGAAAGCTCTAAATAAAGCCCCAGCTCGATTACAAAGAATGCTTTTGCAAATGCAAAAGTACGATGTCACAATCAAGTGGAAACCTGGAAAAGACATGGTTATATCAGACACTCTCAGCAGAGCATGTGTAGACAGTGACACAGAAAGCTCGAAAATTATTGCTTCTATCATGAACGACATTGATCAACAAGCAGATGGATTACTTCAAGCTTTACCCATGTCTAAACCAAAACAGCAAGAGTACAGGAACGCGACCTCGAATGACCCTGTACTGCAACGCATTATGGAATATTGCAGAATTGGATGGCCTGAAAGGACTGATGTACATGAATCAGTCGTGCCATATTACACCTTTCATGATGAACTCAGTACAGTTGATGGTCTCGTGTTCAAAGGCCTGAAACTGGTAATTCCCACATCAATGAGAGACGAAGTAAAGTCGCTTATCCATGAAAACCATATGGGAATCGTGAAAACAAAATCCATAGCAAGAGAGACACTCTTTTGGCCCAACATGAATTCCCAGATCGAGGATATGATAAAAAACTGTGACATTTGCAAAACCCACAGAAATGCCAATCAAAGAGAACCTATGATTCCACATAAGGTTCCTATGCGCCCCTGGGAAAAGATAGGTGTTGACCTATTCTCACATAACAACAAGGATTACCTAATTGGAGTAGACTACTACAGCAAGTACCCTGAGCTGTACTCACTCACCAGCACCAAGGCAAAACCCATCATAAATTGCCTAAAAGCCTCGTTCAGCAGAAATGGTATTCCCCAAACAGTATTCAGTGACAATGGTCCACCATTTCAATCATCAGAATATGTAAAATTCAGCGAAGACTACAACTTCGACATTGCTACATCGAGCCCGAATCTAGCAAATAGCAATGGCCAAATTGAAAGGACAATTCAGACTGTAAAAAATATTATCAGAAAATCAGATGATATTTTCACAGCCATGCTGAATTTGAGAAACACCCCAATTGATGCGAAGATCAACAAATCCCCAGCAGAATTACTTATGGGTAGAAAACTGCGATCTAAAATTCCTACAAGTGATGTTCTACTGAATCCCCAAATCCCAGATCCCAACGTTCGCACAAAACTTCAGCAGAAAAAGCAGATGGAGAAGAGAAAGTATGACCTCCGCGCTCGTCCCCTTGCCCCTCTTCAACCTAATACCCCTGTCAAAGTCCGTGAGAAAAGGAACAATAAACACATCTGGAGAAATGCAACAGTGACTGAGAAACTAGACTCGCCCAGATCATATCTAGTTGAAACCCCAGATGGAGGACAATTTAGAAGGAATAGGAGACATTTAATTCCAACATAAAATGTGTGAAGTGACTATCATTAATATAGTGTAGACCCAAGACTGGAAGTGAAATGGAAATATCCATATTTGCAATGAAGGTCAAGGATAGACCAAATTAGCATATCAAAATAAACATTGTAGTAAGACTGTAGTAAACTCTTAGGTCAAGAACCTCATTAGCATGTAGTACAAACATATGCACTGGACATTTTATCAATGAATACTAAAGTTCATGAGACAGGTCAGATAGTTCAAATTACATGGCTAGTAAAGTTTAAATGAGCTCCCTTACAAAATATTCAGAATTAGTAATGATCATATTTCAATGAGATGACTGTTAAAAGTTTAACTTGTTTTTAAACTAAAAGAAGGGAGATGTTATGTATCTGGTTTCAGTACTGGTCATTAAGATATCTGATACCCTTAACTGAGATTACCATGCCTATAGCAGAGACTTGTAAGTCTGGCTTCCTACTAGAAACACATTAACTATGTAGTTCTTATATTATGTTTGATGTATAATAAAGTCTTGATACAAAACACAACAGTGATCATGTCAATGCTTTCATTCTATTCCGTCTACCTTTATGCAATTATTGTTCAATTTACATGTATGTGTCTTTGCAGGTCAGGCATACCACAGGTGAAAAGTGGCAAGTTAACTAAACTGGCACAGTATAAACCCAGCTATACCTGGAACAGAGGTGGTAGACTCAAAGAATTAAGAATCAGGTGAAGTGCATTCCATGCATTCTTCCTAAACAATATGATAATTATGTTCATTGAGGGAATGTTTCATCAATTTTGAAAACTAAATCAACAATTTATTGAACCTTATGTAGGGTTAATGTAATGTAATTGGTTATACTCAAGTGAACTGCCAAGGATTCTTATTCGAAAGGGTACTTAATACTTGATAAAGTTTCACCTGTTTTTGGTGAACGTAGTCTGAAATGTTCACCCTTCTTTTCATAAAGGTGTCTAGCACGCAAGTTTCTCTATCTCTGGCTCCAGAAGGTGTTTGGGAGGTTGCTACCATCAGAGGCAAGGTAAGTTATGTGATGTAAGAATATTGAATGAGTTTTAGTATCACTACAACGTATTTACTTTAGGAATGGAAATGAACAGACTTAAAGATATTTCAGTGATGCATAATAGTTTATTCAAAGTATGAAATATATCAAATCAATGAAGAATTAACAATATAATTATCCATTAATTCTATTCATTGTAGTGTGCCATATACATTGTAGTGGTTATACAAATGTTATATAAGAAAAATGATGAATCACAAATATTTTGGAACGTGACGAGATAGTTCCGAAAGTTAGATTTTGGAGGTAAAATTGGACAGTTCAGTCAATAATTCCATTTAGTGCCAGCCTTACTACATATTACACTTTTTTCCAGAGCACATTATAGGAAGATTACATTGAAGAAGTTGTTTGGGGAATGGCATATGTTATGGTGGTCAAGTCACAGAGAATGGAGATTGAACTTTAGGGCTGAATGTCACTACAGGTAAAATAAGATTTTAACTTTTTCATTATAGGGTCTCCCAAGGTTGGCCTATTATAGGCAGAACTCAGGCTTTGATGACACAGTTACATAATCTCTAAATATTTATGTCACCACCAAAAGTGGTGACATATTGTTATGGTCTCCGTTTTTTTGCGATGGCGGTTGGCGTCCGGCGGTTGGTGGTTGGCGTCCGGCGGTTGGCGTCCGGCGTCTGTAACAATTTCTTACAACTTCCTATAACTTAACAAATACTGTTTAGACTGACTTCAATTTTTTTCTAAATCATCTACATGTTCTCAGAAGTTCAAATCTGACTTTAGATTTGACATTTGACCTTCAATGACCTTCTCAAGGTCAAAAAGGTCTTTTTTTAACTTGCTTCACATTGACTAAATTTTTTTTCAAAATCATCTACATGTTCTCAGAAATTCAAATCTGACTTAAGATTTGACATTTGACCTTCAAATCTGACTTTAGATTTGACATTTGACCTTCAATGACCTTCTCAAGGTCAAAAAAGGTCAAAAAGGTCTGTTTTCAACTTGCTTCAAATTGACTAAATTTTTTTTCAAAATCATCTACGTGTTCTCAGAAATTCAAATCTGACTTAAGATTTGACTTAAGATTTGACATTTGACCTTCAATGACCTTCTCAAGGTCAAAAAAGGTCAAAAAGGTCTGTTTTCAACTTGCTTCAAATTGACTAAATTTTTTTTCAAAATCATCTACGTGTTCTCAGAAATTCAAATCTGACTTAAGATTTGACTTAAGATTTGACATTTGACCTTCAATGACCTTCTCAAGGTCAAAAAAGGTCTGTTTTCAACTTGCTTCAAATTGACTAAATTTTTTTTTCAAAATCATCTACGTGTTCTCAGAAATTCAAATCTGACTTAAGATTTGACATTTGACCTTCAATGACCTTCTCAAGGTCAAAAAAGGTCAAAAAGGTCTGTTTTCAACTTGCTTCAAATTGACTAAAAAAAATTTTCAAAATCATCTACGTGTTCTCAGAAATTCAAATCTGACTTTAGATTTGACTTAAGATTTGACATTTGACCTTCAATGACCTTCTCAAAGTCAAAAAAGGTCATAAAGGTCTTTTTTCAACTTGCTTCAAATTGACTAATTTTTTTTTCAAAATCATCTACATGTTCTCAGAAATTCAAATCTGACTTTAGATTTGACATTTGACCTTCAATGACCTTCTCAAGGTCAAAAAAGGTCAAAAAGGTCTTTTTTCAACTTGCTTCAAATTGACTAAATTTTTTTTTCAAAATCATCTACATGTTCTCAGAAATTCAAATCTGACTTTAGATTTGACATTTGACCTTCAATGACCTTCTCGAAGTCAAAAAAGGTCAAAAAGGTCTTTTTTCAACTTATCCAAATTGACTAAATTTTTTTTTCAAAATCATCTACATGTTCTCAGAAATTCAAATCTGACTTTAGATTTGACATTTGACCTTCAATGACCTTCTCAATGTCAAAAAAGGTCAAAAAGGTATTTTTTCATCTTGCTTCAAATTGACTAATTTTTTTTTCAAAATCATCTACATGTTCTCAGAAATTCAAATATGACTTTAGATTTGACATTTGACCTTCAATGACCTTGTCAAGGTCAAAAAAGGTCAAAAAGGTCTTTTTTCAACTTGCTTCAAATTGACTAATTTTTTTTTTCAAAATCATCTACATGTTCTCAGAAATTCAAATCTGACTTTAGATTTGACATTTGACCTTTAATGACCTTCTCAAGGTCAAAAAAGGTCAAAAAGGTCTGTTTTCAACTTGCTTCAAATTGACCAAATTTTTTTTTCAAAATCATCTACATCTTTTCAGAAGTTCAAATTTGACTTTACAAGTTCTCAGAAATTCAAATCTGACTTAAGTTTGAACTCATAATATTGTGAGCAACTAGGTGGTGACATTTTGTCATGTTAATGCCTTGTTATATTATACAATGAACATGCTTTTATATTTTGTGCATGCATAAGGAAATCATAAGGACAGTTTTGTTGTCCAATTTAAAATTGTTCCATTGATAGCCCAAGAATTTGTGTTGATATTTCAATTCAGAAACTTATTCTTAGGTACACTATGTGGAATAAGGTTTGGCGACTGTGGCGGGAATACACCTTAAAACAACGGGCTAAGACTGCAAAGTTTAAACTGGCGATTCATTATGGTAAGAAACAAAAATGAGGTATTGGTTAATGAAAGCATAGAATGAAATCCTGGGCTAAGGAAAAAATGTATCTGAAATACATGTACCGTTTAATACCTTAAAACGACCTTTGGCCTGTCAGAGGTATTTGGCAACCGGACTATAATGACTTATTATCCTAAAAAATTGATTTACATTTATTTTATATAGAACTGATTAAGTTTCAGTCGCATACAATTACACACCAAGAATTTCCTGCTGTATAATAGTATTAAACTATATGTTGACATTGATAGCTTCAATTGTGCACACGATTCAATTTATCTTTTTCAGCTGATGTTAGTTCACTGAAGCATTGTTTTGATAGATGGAGAGATTATATTGAGATCAAACGGGAGAAGACATCCAGGAAAATCACAGCGGAACATTTTGCATATCAGTTGGCTATCAGGTCTGTGGTACATTGAAATTGAGTCTAAATACTGTAGCAACAGTTAGAATTAAAGGATTTTGTAACATTTGGCAGTGGAAGTCTGTAAAATAACAAAAGAGAACTGTGTAATATAATACATTCCTATATTTATGATTATTTTAAAATTCTTTTTTACAATTCCTTATACTTTCTGTTCTGTTTTTTGTGGTTTCATAGGAATGGTGTCCAAATTTAAGATATTGTGACTTAATTCCCTCACCTTCCTATCTCTCTCTGTTAGAATTAAAGTGTTGATTTACTGATAATTCAAGGGCTATAACAACATCATCATTTGCCTCTTCCCCGTAACAAAATTAATTTCCTCCATAAGCATTGATAGTTGGTCATCATCCATTATTTTAGACACGTTTGGACAGTGTGGAGGGGCAAACTTCTTGACTTGAGGGTGGAGCGGGAACAGGAAGTAGTAGCACACCATATATGGCAACTACGTCTCCTCACTAGGGTAAGCACTTGATTTCTATAAGTAAGTTCCAACAGTGCTGAATTAGACATGTTTTTAAACCATCTCATTGCATAGTTAACCAATCAGCAAACGTTAAAGAGTCTGTGTTAGTTTAGTTTAGTTTAGTTTAGTTTTATTGTTATTTACAGTGGTAGGTTCAATACAATGCAATACAATACAATACAAAAGAAAAGTAATAAAAAGCAACCCAGCCCACTTGGGCTTATCAACCACTTATGTTAAAAATTACAATTAGATTCATAACAAACAATTTTAAAAATACTAGCATGAATTTCTTAGACACATACATGCAGTTTAATTCAATTTACATTATAAATGGCATTTCTTCTTTTAAAATAACAAAGTTTAACAAAATGAGCAGCTTGCCTAGGCATTTTTTCAAATAAATACTGAAACTTTTGATCCGTAGTTGATTCTGTTTCTTCAAAAATTTGGTGATTTTGTAAATATGTTTTCCTTATTTCCTTATAAAATGTACAATTAAAAATAAAATGTTCCTCATCCTCAATGTTGCCAGATTTACATAAAGTACATTTTCTATTTTCCAATTTTTCATTTCTAAATCTGCCTGTTTCAATTTCCAGTGGTAAAATTCCCATACGTAATTGTGCAATTAAAGATCGTTCCAACTTAGATAAATTTAGCAATAAATATGACTCAGTTTTGTATGAGGTTTTGAATTTGTTAGTTAGTATGATGTTTAGGAGTGGTAGTAATATTCTGCCATACATGTACCTGTACATGTTGAAGTGTTGACAATGTTCATGTTCACCTGTTTATATTCCTCATTTTTTCCAGTTTTTAATATTACAAAACATAATATTTTTCTATTTTTGGACTACCTTTGCAACTTGACCTATTTTTAAAATCGAGCCCATCAATTTGTACCAATTTTATAATTTGCTTATACTTTCATGTAACATTGTAGTTTTGGAGTGTTTGGAGGGACCATTATCTTGCATCTGTCGAGGCCAAAGATTTGGAGACACTAGCGATATCTCATAATCGTACCATGATTCTAAGCCTTGTATGGAAGGCATGGATGCAATATATTATCAATCGTCGAGAAAAGTCAGCAATCAAAGGTAATTAAGTTGTATCTGGATTTTCAGACCCCTTTCCAATTTGTTTCCATCAGTGTTCCAGAAGTTATATTTGCCTTGTAGAGATCAGCACTTGAAAATGTTACTTGGACAACTATTAGAATTATGCAACTGCCAACTGTACATCTGTAATTATGAAGAAATGAATTGAAAGAATAACCTTAACACTTCTCACTTTAATGATTATTGAATTAAAAATATTTTTTGGTATGATATGATGTAGCTAGTTTTTTATCAAATTAATTTCCTTGTCAAGTTTGAATTTTTCTATTAATTTAACAACATAGGTATATGAGGAAGCCATCTATCCATCTACAGTCCATCTAGATATTGCACAAATACTAGGCAACATAATTTTTTCATATTTATTTTCATATAGTATTCCATATATTACCATATTTCAGATTCATATAAAATATCTCTTTCTACAGGATTTTGCATTTTTTGTATTGTAGAATTTGCGACAAGGCATCATAATGATGTTCTGTCTCAGCGATACTTCCTTATATGGCAGAATAGATGGCACCAGCATCAGAAGAGGGCCAGGCATGCGGAGAGACTAGATCAGTTAGCTAAAAGAGTGAGACTTCGCAGAATATTCACACATTGGCAACACTGTATCCTCTTCTTATTTTAATATGATATTAGCAATATTCTATACTTTTGTCATCAAATGTCCGTAACTTCCATTTCTATTACATTTTTTCTGATTTCCAAATTCTTCAATGCTTTAGAGTATGTCACAGAGATTGATGACATCTTATTATTTGTTTTAAGAATGAGGAGTTTTGTAAAGTAACTTCATAGTGTTTATTATAAAATCTTGTACCATCAAATATTCGTTGCCTTCTGGCATCAATAAGGACAAATTTTGTTTTGCTGTGTTTAACCTAACCCATGATAGGATAGAATATGATTACATGCAATTAGATTTTCAGCAAATCTTCCCTAACTCTTGACAGACATTGATTTAGTGTATGAGAAGCGATCACAAACACAGAGAGCAGAAATGCATTATATGAGACACCTGTTGGTAAGTTGATTTATGATTCAAGTTGACCAGCACCAGCGAAGATGTACAGTCATTATAGAATTCACATTAACATGTATTGGCATATGCAGCATGAAAGGCATGCATGGTATACTTGATGTCTCATGGGATTTATTTTTCTGACGATAAGCCTTAGATCAAAGTTTCATTTTTCAAAATATCACAGTTCTTCATTTTTAAGCTAAATTCACCTGTTAATCCAACCACTGACTGTGAATAACCTTCATGTACATGTATTCTACAACCCAATTTCATTGTTTATTACAGCGTGTTGGTTTCAAGGGATTGCAGCTATATGTTGTACAAAGAAGAATAAAGGTTGTCAGGCAGCATATGGCCTCACAGCTAAGGTGTAAAATGGTTAGTGTTTTGTTGTTGTCAATATTAAAGAATATTTATCTAATTTGCTTCAATTCTGTAGACTATTCACTCAAACTTAATTTTGAGTGAGCTTGACCAATTGCATGAACTCAAAGTAAAATTGAGTTTTTTGTGAAACATCTCACATGCGCAGAAGACATTTTGAGTTTCAAATCCCTGTCTGTATCACATGGTATGTTTCATTGTTTCTCCCTTATCTACAGCTGCTACATCGTACCTGGAACAGCTGGTTGAACAGATGTGAGTCTAGTGAGGAGCTAAAGATGTTAAGTTTGTCTCGGAAAGCATGGAAACACCACCAGAAGAAAGTTCTTCAAAGGGCAGTTGACCAGTGGAAGGTACATTGATTTCAATATATTAGGGAGGTTTTGAAGCTACATGTTTTTGGGAGCTAATACAAATATTTTCCATTTAGCTTAAAACTCAATTACGAGGCAAGGGAATGCTATAACAGCCAGAGGACAATATAATTCTACATGATCATGTACAAGTTCTCTTAAAAACGTGGGGCTTAACCACCCTGTTTATTCAATAACCTCCAAATGGGCTGTTTCAAAACTTACATTGAAAACATTATATATGATCATGTGATTATTCCATTATGAGAACCATATTATCATCTCTTATTAAGGCTAGTCCATTATAAGAGACAGATTGATACAAATACTCAAACTTATTAGGGCCATTACATTGAAATATCCTAGATACTTGATAATGCAATTCGCATCATGCTTGATGATCAACATTTTTCATTTAGACCTATGTTAGATGGCGCTTCCATAGACAAAAGCAGTATGTAATCGCAGATGCTCATTACACCACACGCTACATACCACGTTTGCTTCATCACTGGCAGCTGTTTGTAGAAATCAGGCAGGACAAGAGGCACATGGAGAAAGAGGCACTATGTTTTCTTAGGTAAGGCATAGAACTATGCATTTTCAGAACCACTGAAAACCGACCCATGCTATGAATGCTTTAAGGAAGAGCAATATTTCTGAAAATGATCTATTTCATTTCAGCAAATTTGATCAACTTCAATTTCATACTTCATAGAAAAAACTTCAATTCAATAAAAATTCAATTTCATTGCTATTACATCCTATTATTTTATTTTTCCAGGGTTAATACATGTGCCAAGTTTTTCTATACATGGAGAAGTGCATACTCACAGAGTTTAGATAATCGCATGATGGAGAATATGGTAAGCAAGGGATGGTGTTGCATCGATTTCTAACTGATATAGAAGTATCACCTTCAATTAATTTTGTTATGGAGAGAAGGTTAATGATGATTTAAATGAATACTCTTGATTTTTTTAAAAACAATTCTAGTGACGCATATCAGTATTAATTAGGTAACATTGCAGGAAGGAGGGGGTTAAGCCATAACGAAATTAATTCCATTTTTCCTACAATTGTTGTAATACTTCTTCATTAGAATATACACTTAGTATTCCTGGTATTACGTAAGCTGCTAGTATTAGGAGCCAGGCTCCAAAATGATTATAACATAAACTGAAGTATTTCCATTGGCATCCCTGGAGGGTTATAATAGCATAAACAGTTGCCTTCTAGGCTAAAATGATTAAAAATATAATAAGTATGTATAGCCATGCCTCAATATTTTGGTAATCCATATTAAAATAGGTTACATTTGCTCATAAATACTAGCTAAGTAATAGTGCTATCAATCATGATCCTGAATTAAACTCAGCCTCTGATTGTTTGTCACCACCAAAGTTCATGAAAAACACATGTTCCAGGCTATACTGCATAATGAAGCAACTCTACGAAAGCAATATTTGATCACTTGGAGGATGAAAACTCATCTTAGACTTGAAGAAAAAGATCACCAGGTATTCTCTCTTTTAAATTATCCATTGTTGTTTATTTAACATTTTAATAAATATTAAATACACTATTTAAATTTATGATACACAGCTTCAGAAATGTGGATGTTTGATGCTGAACTAATAAATTGGAGCACAATGGTAAAATTGTAATTAATCTTATGAATGTACCAATAAACAGGAGAATTGCATCATAATAAATAATAGGTGATGTTAAAAGTCAGTCCAACTTAGTTTGGACCCAAATAGTGTCAGGCTGAATTCTCTACCATTGAGCTTTGGGGCTAAACTGCCTCTTCACATCAACATGCCAATTAATTCATTTTAAAGAATGATTATAAATAACAAGTATTTTTTATATTTTCAAAATTAGGTTTTGGCTGTAAGTCACTATGGGACTGTTATATGTAGGAAGGTATTCAGTGCTTGGGTAAACATCATCAGAGAGGCTAACAAACAGTAAGTATTGAAACAGCTACTGTACGCCCGGTATTATTCGCGAGCTTTAATTTCGCGAATTTTGCGAAAACACAGTTTCGCGGCTATTAAATTTCGCGAATTTCACAAGTTTGAAATTCATTATTCTCGGAATTCTCAAGCTAAATTACTAGTAGATGTACAGTAATTGCACTTACCTGATGTCCCGCGTTTGGAATTGGACTTCATGTTATCTTTTGCAATTTGCACTTCATTTGCGATGATGTCATCGATATCATTATTGGGCCTACTGGTGGTACTGGGCCGAATCAGCCAACGTAAAATGGACATTACTGAAGTCCTGAAGATCGTGGATATCCAATTATCGCCCAATAACACTACACAAAACGAAAATGCATCAGAGCCCCGGGTAATAACAAATTCCCGGGGATTTAATTGGCAATTTCGTGACGATAATTTTTCGCGATTTTAACACCATCGCGAAAAGCGCAAAAGTTAATCGCACGCGAATAATACCGGGCGTACAGTATGTATCTGGAATTATCTCATATTGTATTTTTGCAATTCATGGAGTACAGCAGTCATTTTGAAAAATGAAATTTCATATCACCTGAAAAAGTACACTACAGTAAAATTTATTGAAAATTGTCTGTTTAGAAAGTTATTGCTAAGAGGCTATGTGAAACTAGAAAACCTGGAAATTGATATTTCTGCTTATGTTGAGGACTTTGATATGGGATATTGATTGGATATACTTATATTCTTGTTTGCAGACATGCTGCTGAAGCAAGGGCAGAGAGACACAACATTCATACCAGGAAGACACTTGTGCTCAACGCTTGGAAAAGGGTGATTATTACAAGTTTGAATTTGTGATTAAGCTTTATAAATGCAGCAACCATTAATACAGCAGACTTGTGTCCTTTCCAGGAAAAATGAAATTGTATTATTTCAAAAATTTTGTTTGCCAAATTAAAATTTAAAACAACTTTTGTCTGCTAGGATCGCATTCTTGTCATTGATCACTTTTTTGTATATTTTATATGGAACATAAACCCAAGTTTTGTAAAATCTCAAACCTTAATTAGATATCAATCAAAATTTACAATTTTAATTGCAGTACACCCAGTATAGAAGAGAGAAAAACAGAAAGACACAAAGGGCAAGACACCACTTTAAAGAAGTTGTCTGCAAAAAGGTCATCATAGTCTGGAGACAGGAGACAGAACAACACAGAGCCAGAGTAAATGAGGCTGAGAAGAGATACAAAATAAAATGTCTCAAGCACCTTAGGTTTGTTCTACTTTCTTTATGTGAGTTGTGAATATAAACCAGGTGGATATTGTCAGCAAGTCTCTATTTATATCATTTTTTATTAGATCATTGCCATTACCAAGAAATTGTGACATATTGTTATGATAAGTCTTCATTTCTTGTGACTAGTAATCATTTGTAGGTTGCGACATTTGATTGGGTTGTTTTGTTTTATTTGATAGATGTTTTCACTTCTGATGGTCAATATTTGATGGAAGTTCCTTGATATTTTAATATGACAATTTCCCATGTCTCATTTCAGATGGGCATTTATTGAATGGCATAGTAATACAGTTGAGGGAAAGCAACTCAAGGCCAAGACTTCAGTGGCTGATTCTTGGTTCAGACACAATACACTTAATAAGGTAAGGTGGTGTCATTATCCTATTCTACAAAGTTCGTGGGGATATAGAGAATGTTCGCCCAATATAGTGTTCATTTTATACTGCCCTAAGTTCTGCTGGAAAGCCAATTTTGAAAATGGCCACCGAAATGGGGGCCAAAAATAAAGCTGTTGCCATAATTCAGCATATAGCTAGATCAGTTTGGGCAGTAATTTTGGTGTCTAACTGACTCTTAAAGTTTTATTAAAAACGTTGGTAAAGACAAAGCCGAAATCGTTGACCCCTTAAATTCTAGTGAGAAATACCTTTTCAAAAAATCACTATAAGCATTATTCCCCTGATTTGACACTGGCGACTATGATTTTGGACCAAAGCTGATATACAACTGACAGCTGTATCCTAAGAGTCTCTACTTAAGTCACAAACATGACAGAATAACAAACCTAACAATCTGAACAGAACCACACAATATATATTTCTGCCTTAAAGCAGAATTTCACATAACTTCCACACTCTGGTATAATTTGTTATTTAGGACATAATATGTGTTCTAGAAATGACACATAATTTCTCAGACACATTATTGCCAGATATTTTTTTCAATAATTTAATATCCTCTCATTCATTCCTCAAAAGCATTAATTAATCTGAAAAATTATTATGTACAGGCTACGCATGTAATTTACAATCATGTGAAATATACACAAAAACAATTTAAATATGTACATATACAATACAATATCTTGCAAATGTATGCATAGTAAATTGTAATCAAAATCTTTTTGCTCGGAATGTCTAATATGAAAAATAATGTTATTGTACAAGAATTAATAATTCAAAATACATTTGTGATGTCAAGTGTGAAAAATATACACAATATATTGTCTTTGCTAATATCATAAACATATAGGTTATTTAATGGTAGGGATGGAATATAAATTTTCTTTCGAAGGAAAATATGATATTGGCCAAGGAAAATATCAAATTGACCGAGGGCGATAGATTTATTATTTTAGTGTCAATATGATATTGTTCTATGTTATAGACCAGTAAATGAATTGTTCTAGTTATTGTGACGTCATGTATCATATTAGAATTGTTATTATTTCATAGTACTTTTAGCTAAAGTACCACAGGCTAAATTAGATATCCTGTTCTTCCTTTCATCTATGCAGGATGTATATAATCATCAGAACTATCAGATTCATTTCCAAGAGTTGTATTCACATATGAATGGTCTGTTTCAGTTTCATTGGCCATGGTATGTAATTCAGTCATTGGTGTATAGTTATGTGGGTCTTGTTGTATGTCATCATTGATGTGTTTGTACGTGTTGTGCCTGTTGTCATCTGTTAATTGATGTATGTCTATAGGAACATCTTGAATTTCTTCATAGATATCATCTTCTTGGGTATTCGCCTCACTTGTTGAGCTGTTGTGTTTTGGTTTGTTAGATTTTCTTTTACATACAATCACCAATACCAATACCAAAACAATGACTAGCAAAGCAGAAACGGATATTCCACTTGCTAAACCAATGACTGTGGAATTATTTATAGGTTGGCCAGAAGATGCGGTGTCTTTGTCGGATGATTCTATTGTAGGGGTGGATGCTCCAGATTTTAGGGTAGATGGTTGTTCTGTTTTCTGCATTGAGGATGTATGAGTTGTGGTTATTGTTGTTAAATTAGCCAAAGATCTTATATCTAAGCAGAAGTCACTAGCAATTATTGCAGTGGCATTATTTATATGTTCAAGTGGTACTGTAGTGATATGGTTTCCTTTCAAATATAAACCTGTCAGCATTGGCATGTACTTACATACATCATGTGGTACACCTTGGAGTTGATTATTTTGTAAATTAAGATTTCTTAATAATATCAAGCTTCTGAATATCCCAGTTTGTAACATTGTGATGTCATTGTATCCAAGGTGAAGATATGTCAGAGTTTTCAAGTTACTGAATATGTTATCAGGTAATGTTGTTATATCATTGTTTCTCAGGATTAGTGTTTCCAGTGAGGTTGAATTGCTAAATATCTCCTTTGGTAACATTTTAATGCCATTGTGGCCAATGTTTAGATAAGTCAGGGATATTAAGTCACTGAATAAGCCACCTGGCAATATTGTTATGTCATTGCTATAAAGGGAAAGTGTTTTCAGTGATATTAACTTACTGAATATATCTTCTGTTAAGTTTGTAATGTCATTATTATCTAATCTAAGATTTGTCAGTGATGTCAAATTACTGAATATATCATCTTGTAAAATTGTCAGTTTATTATTTGTCAGCCATAATTCTTCTAATAAGTCTAAACCAGAGAATGCACCCAGCTCAATTGTGCTAATGTTATTGTTGTCTAGATAGAGAATTTTTAGATAAGGAGATTCTTTGAACATGCTTTCTGTTAGTTTTGTGAGTCCCACGCTTCTCATATCTAGCTGTGTGACATCGGCAGTGTATTGGATGGTCACCTGGTACATGATGAACAGCATAATGGTCTTCAATAACACATTCTGAAAATATCAATATAATACAGCTTTTCATGTTTGAAATAACTTCATGTTTTCTTGTGGCCATATTCAACATAAAAGTTACATGAGGGTGCGCTCATTTGAACACCCTATGCAGACAGAGCCTGTGGGAGATATTGGGTGCGGAGCAAATGAGCGGAGGGTGCGGAGCTAACGGTCATTTTTGAATTTAAATTTGGGATATTTCTGAAACTAAGCTGTTTTGGGACTTCAAATATACCAAGATATGTGTATTTGACACCAAATATCAATACAATTGTGAAAATAGTAGCGCAATGTGCCTTAAACCTTTCCCAGACCTGTATATTTTGAAATTATCCTTTTAATACTGAGTCCGCAGCATTCATAAAAAATGGTGTTCAAGGTACACTATCTATACAAATTATTTTTGCATCTTGGAAGCCAGGCAGTATCTGTGTGATTTTATAAAAATTCGGAAATGTTTTTCAGATATGAGCCCCCTCTAAATATTGGGTGCTGAGGAGCTCCATAAACGTACCTCCGCACCCAATATTTAGAGGGGGCTCATATCTGAAGAACATTTCCGAATTTTTATAAAATCACACAGATACAAAAATCCAAGATGCAAAAATAATTTGCATGGGTAGTGTATCCTAAACACCATTTTTTATGAATGCTGGGGACGCAGTATTAAAAGGATAGTCTCAAAATATATAGGTCTGGGAAATGTTAAAGGCATACTGCGTCGCTATAAAATGAATTGCACTACTATTTTCACAATTTTATTGATATTTGGTGTCAAATACACATATCTTGGTATATTTGAAGTCCCAAAACGGCTTAGTTTCAGAAATATCCCAATTTTAAATTCAAAAATGACAGTTAGCTCCGCACCCTCCGCTCATTTGCGCCGCACCCAATATTTCCCACAGGCTCTGTCTGCATAGGGTGTTGAACTGTGCACTCCTTTAGAGAGAATACAACTTAGTAAGTTGTTTCAGAAGTTGGTTACAAAGTTAGGTATGTAAGTTCTTAGATATGACCTCCAAAGATAAGTCAGGTAACTGAGATATTATTTAATATATGGTATTCATAAAGTAACCCCTACCTTGTCATATGCCATTGTTATATTTGCTCTTAATCATCAATGCTTTGCTCTATTGCTTGGTTGGTGTGGAAGTATTTTCTTGGGTTGTATAAATTCTTGTTGTATGTCAGTCTTTTCTATGTAGCAGAAATTTAATACGTCATGAAATATGTCTACCGTGCCATTAATTTCATTCTTTTGCATTATATAACTGAATTCTTTTTATTATAAATTGTGGTTCTCTTGATTTTATTTTTAAGGTAGTTATTCACTGGAAAATGTGATTCAATGCTATAGCATAGGAGCAATGATCTGATGAGTGTTCAGCTTTAGGACACTATCATATATATTTTGTGATATCATACTTTTGAAAAATGAGATTTTTTACTTTATATGGATATACAATTTCGATGGATTATCATACCCAGTAATGGCATTTTAAATGTTCATAGGCCTAGTGTTCAAAAAAGGCAACTGAAAAGAATTGCTATATCTTGGAAAATACTGAAACAATTGTTTTCATTTATTTAGGAAAGAAAGAAGAGACTGTATATGTATTGCTCCTGTAGTAAGTTACAGTTGAGAAACACAATGCCTTGGACACCTGCTCAAAAGACATTTGTACTTCAAAATGCAATAAAACCAAATAGCTTCCTAACCATAGGGTTTTGGCACTTCAAATTCGGCACAAATTATTTTCATTCAATGTGTGGTTTTCATCAAAATGACTGTTTTCTAGCTTTAAGTAAAAAAACTCAGTGATACCAACGTTTTTGTTTTATATGTCATGGTCATTTGATATAAAAATATATGCACTATATCATAATTTAATTTGAGGCCTCAGGGTATACAACTACCTTAACACTGCAGTTTAGTTTTGTTGAAGTCCTTGACATTGTTGAATGATCTTGAATATGTTCATTTGAAAATCAAATCACAAGGAAGCCATTAATTTATATTTTATTGATCCTTTATTATGTCAGTCTAACCACTGTGCAATTTTTGAAAATATGTTTTCAGACAAGGAAGAAATTACTTAACTTGAAATAGAGAAAATGGGCACAAAGTCCATTGAAACCATTTCTTTCATATGAAACTATTTATTTTTATTCATAAGATAGACTTTGATCGAATGAAAAACATTTTTGTAGTTACCTAGACACTTTCGTGTCAAGTTAAGTAATACTTTACTACTATTTATTAGCTCGATTCACCCATATTATGAGAGTGGTTTACAAAGAAAGGCCCACTTAGAAACTTAAACAGTTTCACATATACTGTGATAATTATCACATCGAGCAAAGTTCATGGAATATAGAAAATGCCTCCATCTGTCTGATCCATCCGTCCCTCTTTCTTTCGGGGCAACTCAAATTAAGTACAAACCTAAATCAGATTCTTTTCCATTATTTTCTATTTACAGGTTTTACAACACTGGAGAGACCATGCAGTTGTGGCCAGATATAAGAGACAACATACTAACACACAAGTCCAGGAAGCTAGGCTACAGTTGAACAAAGGTAGTAAGAATACAGGGTGCACGTCCCGTGAAATAAAGATATTTGCATTCTTCAGTTGAAAGGACATTCATAAACTCCCTTAGGTTGAGCAGCTTTTTCATAAATGTACTTACACATGTATTTAGAATCATTTTGTCCCAATATCACAGACAATTCCCCAAAAAATTCCAACAGGTTCCTCAATCCTAATTTAACATGGTTAGGTCAAATTTTCTTAATATTTCACCTTTTGGGAAGAGCAGCAGATTTTGAATGTAATGGAATGTAATATATACAGATTTTTACCTGGTAAAGCATCCTGTTGCTCTCATACCAGTGATGATATTGCATCATATTCTTATCATTCATACCCATTTCCTAAAAAAAGTTAATATGATTTACATATTAATTTATATAAACAAAATATTTCTGCACATTGTATTTTACAGTGGATTCATTAAAATCACACATAAACATATTTACATAACAATAACAATAATCTGAAGACATTAAATATAGACATTCCTGTATGTTGAACTTTTCAGTTGTGCTATTACATAGCCTTGTTAGATGGAGGGCTGCTAAAGACAGTGCAGTATTGAGCAGACTGAAGCAAGAGCAAGCTGCCATACACTGCAACCATAATGTGCTGTCTAAGATCATGAGAGCATGGAGGCAATATGTCTCTTTGTCTCATAAGAAACAGGTATGAATTGAATTTTATCATATTGTCCATTTATAACTTATTAAAAAGCTTGGATTTTTAATCTGAATTTGTAAAATACATCCATTTGAGAATTGAATATCATATTGTTTTGTATATTGAAAAGTCAGCACTTTATGCAATGCTTTTTTAAACTCTAGTGGAACACCTCCATAAGTAGGTTAAGTCACAATGAAGCTCTGCAAGTAGACCACCTTCAAAGTGAAACACTATTTAAAGATACCAAATGTGTTCCACTAACACAGGTTTTACTGTACCTGTATATAAAATCCATTCACTTGGCTCTCGTGTGTTTCAGCTATTAGAACAGCAATGTATCTGGTTGAGAAACACTCGACTCACAGTGACTATGTTCATGAAATGGCGGAGTGTTTACCATGAAAGTGTCCAGGAGCGAGCTAAGACTGGTATTGCTCTCTGGCAGTGGAGCTTGGTGGTACAGCGTAAGGTAGAGACATCTTAAAGCTTTATTTCAAAATATTTCAAATAAAGTCTTATAATTTCTATCATAATTTCAGAAGCCCTTGAATGGTGATTAAAATAATTCATTCTATCAAAATAAAAATATCATATTAAACAAACGTTAATTGTAAACAAACACTTTCTTTGTCACTCCTCATTATTTTTTGCACCTTTAGCAGGCAATTTGGTGTATCACATGTCTGTATGCTCTTTAACTTTTTTTATTTTTATTTAATGATTTAATTTCGTAACTGTTTGCAGTCCTTAATAGCCTGGTACCAGTATGTTCAGGAGCGTAAGTACAAGAAGAGGCGTCTAGATACAGCATTGAAGGAACATCGTGCTCGATTAGTAAAACGAGGAGTTACCCAATGGTTGGCAGTTGCTGCGGATATTTCACATTCCAGACGCAGACTGGCTGCAAAACGCCAGGCCCAGGTTAGAGACTGTGTTAGTTTGTATTGTACCCCCATCCCCCACCAGCTCCCCCACAATTCCTCCTTTGTTGCAAGAGATACAAATTCTGTAATGTTAAAAGTTATGTCATTGATTGTGTGTTTTCAGTTGCAGAATGTCGATTCTTGAGTTGAAATTTTCTGTTTTTTTTAAAGAGTTTTGGTACGGCAAGTGATTTTGACAGCTTTGTTTTTGACTGGGTGTTTTTTTATCTTTCATTTTTGAAAAAGTGAGGAGATTGGCTACTAAGCTATGGCCTATTATTAGATTGGTGTAATTCAATTTACTTTTGCTGTATTTTGTTGAAGATAACATATTATTTTGATTATTAAATATATTAAATCACTTTCCATACCATACTTGGTTCTTTTGTTATTCTTCCAATTGATTTATGTATTAATAATATCCCTGGGGTGTCATAGCCTGTATAATGTTGTAAATTGTAATGAAAACTGAAATAAATTATTTTGAAATTGAATTGAATTTTCCTGTTCCAGAGTGCATTTGATAATTACTATGTGGTAGAGAGATGTGCTCTTCATTGGAGATCTGTAGTGCAGCAGAGAAAACACAAGCAGACTTTGAGGTCACAACACAAGAGATCTCAAGACAAGGTCCCATATCCCATATATGATGAGGCATGCATGGGCACAGGTTTTATTGCACCAGGTAAAATACATTAGAAGTGCAGCCTGGATTTATTAAGACTATTAATGTAATTTATTACCCTCCCTCTTGGATGCCCAGAATTTTTCTGTCATTTGATAATGAAAATACATTTGAGTAGACCCAGAATGATAGTATGTCAATTACAGAATTTTTGCAGGTTATATTTTTCTAGTTTATTCAAATTATTCTCTCTCCTTACTAATTTTACAATATAGAACTTAAATTGTATAAGGATGAAATTAGAGATTAAAATGTAAAAGAATTGCAAAGTGAAAAAAACGCATTTGTTACATACCCTCTTTAGAACCTAAACTTTTTTTTCCTAATGAAGGTATCACAAGGCATGTACAAGATATTGATATCCATAACATGGGACTTATGGGAGAACCCTCCGGTGAAAGGTGTACCATACCTAGTGCCACTACTGGACCACATCGACCTGGACCACACACACATGTAGCAGACCCACATCTACCTGGACCACACATAGCAGATCCACATCTACCTGGACCACACATAGCAGTCCCACATCTACCTGGACCACACATTGCAGACCCACATACTCCTAGTCCATCAATGTTCTCTCCTATCAAACCACAAAGGTATTGTACATTTTGAACTGAGATTTTTATTTAAAACCCATTCAATCTATATGCAATATGGCAGCATCAACGTCCAAGGCTTGAATATCAGCATTGTCTTCTAGTTTAATATTGAAAACATAATTAATGATCATTGGCCATGTCGTCACAAATTATTATGGCTTCAAACTGGAGCCAATTGACACTGAAGCACTTCTTTCTCAAATTCCCAAATAATACAACAGGGAGACAATGAACAAATTGCTCCATGTGTAACAAGAAACACAAAAATCAAGCTGATCTACTTTTCCTTTTTTGCAATAGCAACACTGACTTTTCACAATTCATTTCAAAAGTTGCAGATTTTATTTCTACTTGTCCTTTAGTAAAATCACAACTCATTTTCTTTACACACTCAGTCCTTCCCTACTCATGCAATCCCGCTCAATTTTTGTCTACAGTACCGCAATGTATCATATTTACAGAATTACAGTACAGCACAGTACAGTACCATAGCAAAAAATGGTAGCATATGGTACTGTTGGATATTGACTGTATGTTGCAAATATTGCAAGATCATTCAATATATTATACAAATGTCCATTTCTCATATAATGCTCCCAGGTAGGTGATTGGAAATAAATATTTTTATCCAATACTCTGAAAAATATCAGCAATGAAATAGTTATAGATATATGAGAATTGATATGATGTATATAATAAGTAATTTCAGTAATTTTCAAAAATATTTTACACATATTTATATAGTTCGACTATAATTTGACTTCAAAGTAAATCACTTGAAACAGACATTGGGATTTTCCTACTTCTAAAGTTTGCTTAACATTGGTTTTTAATTATTAGGTTACCACCCAGAAAGCCAAATTTCCTCCAGGAGTCTCTAAAGAGAGAAGGATTGTATAAATCTGGAGAAGACCAAGCATTGAGAGAACACATAGAGTAAGCATAATTATTATACTATATTCATTTATCAAAGTTTAATTCATATTTATTTCTCTTTTTTGAGCATTTGATACAAGTGGGTGCGACACCCATATTAGATTTCGAAATGAGGCTAATACATCTACAAAAATCAGTGTTGGAGAGCACACTGAAATATAGATAACAACTATCAACAAGATTGCCTTACATAATGAAACTAAAACTTTTTTATTATTACCCTTGTTGACATGTAACATGAAGTCAAAAATCAGAACTGATTATTATTTCAGTCTGCCACTTGCTGACCCAGAATCTCATAATACAGATACAGAGAGGAAAAAAGTTGTACATTTTGAGACTAATCCTATCATAGACAGTACACCAAGATTGCCTCCTCCTGCTCCATCCCCCCAGAGAGTGCAACTTCAGCCTCCATACCCCCAGAGACCTTACACCATGGCTGCTCCACCTGGAATGACCCCCCTGGATAATAGGCCATACTCCAGCCCTGAATGCTATCCAGGAGTGAATCCCCCTGGTGATATATACACAATATCTCCAGAACCTAGATTAAGAAACACTGATCAGTCTGTACTCGGAGGCTCTAAAATATCCACTGATGCTTCTAAGCAATCTCTGACATTATTACCCCCCTCTGCTTTCACACAGAAATTAACAGACTCACAAACTCATGATACAACCGATGGATTTAATAAACTGAATGAGGTTGTATATAAACCAGATAAGGATATGCTTAAATTAAATGATGAAATGCTTAAAACTGATGAAGGCATATTCCATCTCACACAAGCCCAAGGTGCACCATTTGACCATGGTGTTAGAAGAGGTACATTGCTCCCAGAAGGGGGTACCACAAGAGGTACATATGTTCAAGAGAAAGATGCCCCAGACAAGCCAAGTATGCATTGTGAAGTAGAACACATCAGAGACCAACTAAAGAACTGGCAGGCCAATAAACAGAAACTCAAGTAAGACCATAAGACAGCTCTGTTTGTTTAAAAAATGTTATATTGACCTTCCAATTATTGTTTTACATGGATAAGATGAACAAACCTAATTATTTTTGTTGGCAAGCAAATATAAAGGCATTTTGTCCTGTAGGGTGCTTAGAGAACAGAGAGAGAAGTTGCGTAGCTGGGTGTCTTGCCAGACCATACAAGATGACCACTATCACACTGTGAAACACGAACTAAAAGAGGTATGAACTTCACAAGTAATAAATGATTATTCCAATGAATTAAAGAGTATGGATTTAGAGTAGCTGTTCATCTGTCAAATGAAAACTGCCATTCATCTGAAATAATAGTAATGCCCCTTTCCATTTAATGGGTGTCCATGCTGGTTACTTACAACTTACATCAATGTTCAGACCTCTTACTTTTGCCTTGTTTTGGGCATTTTTCATTATAATAATGGAATCACAGTGTGAGCCTCTGGAGTGGTGTCATTTTTGAAATGCCAGTCATTTGATTTGGTACTTTTATAGACTGATATGGGCTGAGGACTTATGTTGGAGAAGGAACTTCCAATATGGCCACTCAATTAAAAATGGCCACCATTTTTCATAAAAAAATCGTTGATAACTTAAATTCTGGTTTTCAGATATGCATTTACCTAATATTTTATATGCTGATGACTTATGGCCACAGGAGGTTTTAATTATGACTAAAACTTTAAACATATTTAATTATTTAGGCTACACATATGATATACATGTAGGCTAATGCAAATGAACAAACTAGGGTGAACAAAAATCTTGCAGTTCATTTTACTCCAGTGTAATGATGTATTTCCAGATGGAGGTTGAGATGCATGAATTGGAAGAGTTGGTGTCTGATGAAAAAGAAAAGTGCCATAAACTATTACACAGCATCAGTCCTTTCATATCAGAACAATAGAACTAACATGTCATTATATACATCATGCAATGAATACTTTGAACTTTGAAGTGAACTGACAGTATTTTGCCTTCAATCAGGAATCAGATCAAAGGAAATCGATCTATTACATTAGTAGACTTAAGATCTGGAATAGTTGAATATGACATAGTACATTAATCAAGTGTGACATAATAAAGTTGGGGTATTAAGCCAAGTGCAAGAAACAAGTGTGACATTGCTATGGAGAGGGTCACATTAAACATGATACCAAAAGTAATAAAATTGGCTAAGTGTGACATTATCAGATTGTTGATTCAGTCATATGTGACATCATTTGAGTGTGACATTATTGTATAATTGATTAAGTCAAGTATGATATCAGTAGAAAGTACTAATGGATTGTGTCAAGCGTGTCATTATCAGTTGGCAAAATAAGCCATGTTGGATAATGTGTGTCTTGATCAACACATCGGAACCTTTTCCATGAGAACAATGAAATTGCTAAACATTTTAGATAGGTAATGTTTAAACCATGAATTTCCATTTTTTGATATGATATTGTCAACATTTGTTCTCCATTTAAACCATATGTGCCAACTATGTTATCAATAAATTAATTTTAATAGTTATTAATTTGGTTATTGATGTTTTGGCAAATTTTTCAATGACTACATAGCTGCCCCAAATATTATGACATTTTTTATGTCTCTTGATGTTTTGAACTTGAAAAAGTCTATGAAAAACAAACATTCATTCTGTTCAAGGATAATTTGTTAGGATATTGATTATTAATCAAGTATATGTCAGTATGTGTATTTGAAATTATATTATATGAATTTTTATGAAATTACAATTATTAAATAATTTTAAGTGTATTTTAATTCTTGGAATGTTGCCCCTTGTGATGTGTAAAATGTAAGTAAGAATGTGAGTAATTGTAACTTTATCATACTCAAGTAGAGGCTGTTTACAATTCAAAACATGTTGACATTTCAAATTTCAAGTACTTTGTTTACATTCAAAGATGAACTCAGGTTATCTTAATATCTGTTTTTGTTTTTCACTTATCAACCCCTGTATAAAATTCCCTCGTGTATTCATGCAGTTTATTTTATAGTTATACTAGTTTTAAGTTTTTGAGGATTTAGCAGAGTGACAATTTGAACATCCATGGCTATCAAAAATGGATTATTTTGCTATTTATAATTTTTTGCCTAAATCTTGTAAAAACGGTAACAAGTCTGAACTACTTTATAATAAACTATTTTACTACTACTACTACTACTACTACTACTACTACTACTACTACTACTACTACTATAATGGCTTCAACCCAAGATCCCTACTCCATGCACTCATCACATTTGACCTATAAAGATACTATAACAATATTAATTGGTTTATTTTTGGCTAGTAAAAAGGATATTGAGGAAGTATATAAACTGTAAACATCTACATTTCTTCATAAACAATTTCAACAATTTACCAGCTGCAAGAAGAAAACTTATATAAAAACCAGAATGGAAGGTCTTGTGTCCAAACTGGAAGGTAGGAATTAAATGTAAGACATTATAATTGAGCACATATTTTATTTTAATTTGCCACTCAAACACTATGAGATTTAGATACCACAGTGCGTTTGGTTTGGAATCTCAAATAATTTGTTTTTATATTTTTAGTTGTTTGGTCAAAATAGATACGACTGGAACAGTGCCATTCCAACATAATATATACAATTGATAGTATTGTGCATGATAAAAATACATACTATTAAGCATATATTAAAATCGTTTCGAAAATATCCATTTCGTTTTCTTGTACAGACAGCCCCGTGTTTCCAATACTGGGTACATGTATAACTGCAACTGTCCTAACGGCGATATTAAAAAGACTGATTGGACATATTAGAGAGAAACCAGGAGATAAAGAAGACTACATTGTCGTTCACAGTAAAGAACCGCTCACACAGGAAGACTTGGATTTCTTGGATGATTCTTGGTTGTTTGGGGAAACCATGTTCGAAACAATCTGGTAGTCTCGTGTATTTTATAGAGAACATTGTATCAGTACTCCACGTCACTGGCGCTGTCATTGATTACGTCACATGGTGAATACGTCAATTGTAAATACGTACGTATCTGAGACATTCATTTTGACGAATTGATACATTTTATAAATAAACTTTTTAATCAGCGTCGGGAGCTATTTGAAAAAGGAATAGTTAGTGAGGTAGCACCAAAAAATGTACCCGCTTCTGAACAAATTGAAATTACTTGTTTCTTATGTATTTTTATGTGATACTTCAGAAAATTTTTGTCTGATGCGCCGTATCCGGGGCGAAAGTTGTCAAAATTGGGTTTTTGACCCTAAAAAGGAAAATTACAGGGGGTACATTATCATAATTGAATAATTCATTCAGTTGGTCTTCAATCATCATAATAATTTTATCGATAGTTGATGAGATCATTTTAAGGTAGTATGCAAACTTTCAATGGTCTGTCACTCGTGGTTGCCATGGAAACCACAATTTTTGCTGAGAAAATCCTTAATTTTGGTAAAACCTGTACCTGTACATAATATAGAATGTGGATTATTTTTTAAATCAACAGATATCAGAACATTTTAGCATTTTCAAAATTATCAGGGCAGTTCAAACATTTATTTAAATATAAAGGATATTGCAATTAACATAACTGGGGAGTGTCAAAGACCATACAATTACATAAGTGATCAAAAGTGGGCGTCGCCCTTATCATAGTAGATGATTGCCATTCTCTAAAATTCAGAGTCTTACTTGACTTTTGAGATACATTTATAATGATGTTCTTTGGTTATACTAAATATGAAGCATTTTTGGTAAATAATGTACATGTAAGTGTTATACTTATTGCATTGGGGAGGGGGTAGATGGGGGGGGGGTAACAGAATTGGAAGAGGGCAAAGCTAATCACCCTTAAGTATAAATCTCATCTACATAGTTCTGGATTTCATGGGGTACATCTTCTGGGTCTTCTTCACATTCATATAGGATATTATAATTCTGCATGATTGGTAAGTATAAAGACCATAGAATTACTCAAGTGATCAAAAGTGGGCGTCGCCCTTATCATAGATTCATTCTCTATAAATACAGAGTCTAAGTTGACTTTTGAGATACATTTACATTACAACTTCTTTGATTATACTTAATTTCAAGCATTTCTGGTTAGTAATGCACATCTAATTGTAATAGTTCTTGCCTGGGGGAGGATGGGGGAGAGTAGTAACAGAATTGGGAGGGGGCAGAGGTAATCAGCCTTAAGTATGAATCTCATCTGCATAGTTCTGGATTTCATGGGGCACATCGTCTGGGTCTTCTTCATATTCATCTCAATATATGGGATATTACAATTTACAGGATTTGTCAAACACCATACAATTACATATTTATAAATGATCAAAAGGAGTGTCACCCTAACAATAGTAGATGATTGGTTCTTTGTATAAATACAAAATTGAACTTGACTTTTGAGATACATTCATAGTTATACTGAACTGCTGTTATTATAATTTATGTCAAGCATTTCTGGTAAATACACCTTTGTAAGTATGTATTATAGTTTTTACATTTGGGCAGGGGTGAGTAGTAACAGAATTAGAATGTGTAGATCTAATCTGGCTTAAGTATCAATCTCATCATTTTAATTCTGGATTTCATAGGGTACATCTTCTGGAGTTTTCTGATTCATCTCCTGGTGTTGCTATACCACCAATCTCTTGTATGAGAATATCAGTCAATACCCATTATAACGATGGAGTCATTTAGTTTCCATTCAAGTCCATCTGGTGGTTCACTACGAGGATTTGCAATATGGGCCATACAGACAATAAGTGCTTTATATGGATGAGATGGTTACAACAATCTATTATCTAGAGATGAGATGAGTGTGACACCCATAATGACCTTGGAAAGGCACAAATAGCAAGTATAGAAAAAGACATAAAGATGACAAAAACCGCAATCAAAGACTTCCTTGATCCATTTACCATTGAGGATGAAGGTCATCTCTACGGTGTATCATAAGGAAAATCTGTGCCAAATGATGTCGCTGCAGATCTCATCTAATTTTAGTCAAAAGGGGAAATTGCATGAAGAGATACCATCTGAGATTAGTTGAAAAAAAGATTTCATGATCTAATAAAACATATGAAATTGAAAACTATAGCAGCAAACTACAGCAGCAACAGTGACAGTGACAGTAAAAAAGTACTCAGAACAAGCTTATACAAATACATTCTGAATGAAACATCTTTGAACAGCTTTGATCTTGCTTAAGAACATAAAATTAGCCTAGAATGTCTCCTGCAGTTCCTATTGAGCCCTGTGCCTTGGGCTCTAGGAACACTGACTGGACTTCTTGCAAGAACAGAGAAACGCATTCCTATGCATGAACATGTACCCACAAGTGCCAAAGGGAAAGGACCAAAATTTGTAATAAAACCCAGCAAGAAAAAGAAAACTTCTAAATGTATACAAGTCATAAGGAAAACAAACCCCAACTATCCCAAACCATAATTCAACATGAAAGGTAGTTTTGTTTCTGGATCTGGCGGAGACTGTTTCAAGATTCTACAATTGCAGATTGATTAGTTTTTGTATGTGATTATTACATCAAAAATTCTATAAAGGAACCTGAAAGAGGGGAGGGAACCTTGCCCTATTTAAGGTAGAAAACACGAGTCCCTAAAGATTGGAATTAGTTCTTGTATGATGATGAAAACAAAAAGCAAATACAGCAAAGTGTGCTGCTGGATACTTGAGTTGGAAACAAATGAAGACTGATGTCAGTGGTATTTCCTCCAATATAGACCCTGACATATATGCAGCCTTCCTAGCACTTCACACATTCACAGATGAAGTGCCATGCAGAAGGGGCAATAGCAATAGCACCTTTTTAAAAGGCAAAGGTGGAGCGCCATATAGATACACTCAACTGGATGACTCTCAAATCTGCAAGTGTAGTGGTATATTCTCCCACATGATATTGTTAATATATTAACATCGGGAGGTGAATGAAAATGATCAGACTATGATATTAATACTTAAGACGGACTGGCCATTGGCTCTGCCCCCTCCCATTTCTACTACTACCCCCTTGC